TTAGCAAAAAATCCGATGCTTATGATGATGTGCTTACTACCATCGCGGAATTAGTGTACGAAAATATGCTATTCAGCAGTTATGCAAACATGAAACTGAACATGCGTAGACGTGAACTTTTCAAACATGAAATTAATCAAAATTTCAAGCATTTGTGCGCCAAATCTGTGCCAATTACCCAGTTTCTCTTTGGAGACGACATCTCTAAACAGGTGAAAGAGATAGCAGAAATGAATAAAACGCAACTGCGAGGCGTTTTTCCGTCTTCCACTCGGGGTAATCGAGGAAGGGGACGTGGTTACGGTGGACGTGGTCGTGGAAACAATTCCAACAACCATTTTTTAGGCCAGGGCTACGGCAGAAACAACCACCAGCGGAACTCTACCCGATATCCCAACAAGAGAGGGAGAGGGGCCAAGAGCAAGTCCAGCAATGCCAGCGAGAAAACCACCAATCAATAGGTCATGTTGACACTATTACAATAGACACTGCACCTGAAAAGGTAAGACAAACCCTTAAAAACTCTGTCAATTATTTTCAAGGTGGTCGACTTAAAATGTTCTTGCATGAATGGGAACGTATAACATCAGATCAGTCTATATTAGATGCTATCGGTGGTTACACGATTGAATTTTGTGATGATGATATTCAACAAATGCAATGGCCATGTAACACAAATTACTCTAGGTCAGATCATGAAAGCATGGATCTAGAAATTGCCAAATTTGCAAAAAAGGGTATCATTGTACCAATTGATGATTCTAAAAAAGGTCACGTGTCACCTATTTTCCTGTTACCCAAAAAAAGACGGGTCAAAAAGAATGATTTTTAAACTTATCTGATTTAAATCAGAGTGTAGAATATCATCATTTCAAGATGGAAAATCTTCAACATGCCCTCAACATCGTGTCACCTAATATGTACATGAGTTGTGTCGACATTAAAGACGCTTACTATAGTGTGCCAATTGCTACTGATTCTCAAAGATTTCTGCAATTTGAATGGAAGGGCCAACTATATCAATATACTTGTCTAGCTCAAGGGTTATCTTCGGCCCCCAGACTATACACCAAAATTATGAAACCTGTTTTTGCTAAATTGCGAAATGAAGGTCATCTATCGGTAGCATATATTGACGATTGCTGTCTATTTGCAGAAACCTCTGAGCAGTGTAAGCAGAACACTTATGACACAATCAATTTGCTCAGAACACTTGGCTTCATAGTTCATCCAGAAAAGGTTATCTTGACACCAACACAGGTAATAACTTTTCTTGGTTTCGAACTTAATAGTATCAATATGACTGTGAAACTTCCTGGTGATAAAGCACAAGTTGTGAAATCTATGTGTAAATCATTATTGTCTCGTAGCAACTGCACAATTAGGGATGTAGCACAAATCATTGGTAAATTAGTATCATCTCTACCAGGTGTTCAATATGGCCAGCTTCATTATAGAAATCTTGAGAGAGATAAAACAAAGGCTTTATCTATCAATGAAGGCAACTTTGATGCATGCATGCAATTATCAAATGATGCAAAATCCGACCTACAATGGTGGATTAATAATGTAGCGAAATCCGTTAAACCAATTTCTGTTACAGATCCAGATATGCTGTTACGAACAGACAGCAGCACAAGAGGTTGGGGTGCAATATGTGTTACCAATTCTGTTAGAACAGGTGGACGTTGGTCAGCTGAAGAAGCTTCCAATCATATCAATTTTCTAGAATTAATGGCCATATATCTTGCATTGAAATGTTTTTGTAGAGAAAATTCACACATCCACGTACGTGTTGAAACGGATAACACTACGGTTTTGGCTTACGTTAACAAAATGGGAGGTATCACATCGATTGCTTGTGATAACCTAGCAAAAGATATTTGGAAATTCTGCATTTTCAGAAATATCTGGCTTTCAGCAGCATTTATTCCAGGTTCTGAGAACACTGACGCTGATGAGGAATCTCGAGTGCTCCATGATGAAACAGAGTGGATGCTCGACAAAACAGTGTTCAATCAACTGATTAATCTGTCTGATTGGCCATCTCCCGTAATTGATATGTTCGCTTCAAGATTGAACCATCAGCTCCCACGTTATGTGTCCTGGAAACCTGATCCAGTTGCTGAAAATATCGATGCATTGAATATCAAGTGGAATGATGAAACTTTGTATGTGTTTTGTCCTTTCAGTTTGATCACGAGGGTTCTAAAGAAGATCGAACACGATGCCATAACCAATGCCATTGTAATAGCACCAGTGTGGACAACACAGCCATGGTGGCCGAAACTTCTGAGACTCTTGATCGATATCCCAGTGATATTACCCAAAAGGAGAACGTTATTGTAACTACCGTACGACAAACAGAAACGCCATCCTCTTTGGAGAAAGATGACTTTGACTGCATGTCTTTTATCCGGCGATCCATCGAAATCCAGGGAATTTCGAAAGACACTACCGAAGTCATCTTATTATCTTGGCGATCTGCATCCAAAAAGCAATATGCTGTCTACTTACGTAAGTGGGTACACTTCTGTTATAGACGGAAAATTGATCCATTTCAATCATCTGTGAACATAGGACTTGTTTTCCTCACGTCTCTTTACAAGGACGATTTAAGCTACAGTGCTATTAATACGGCCAGGTCAGCGTTGTCATTCATTATATCACAAGACTCTGTTTCTTTTGGGAATCACCCTTTGGTTTCTAGGTTTATGAAGGGTGTGTTCAACGACAGACCTCCGTTACCAAAATATGAATCAACATGGGATGTATCAGTAGTGTTAAACTATCTCGAGACATTTTATCCCAATGAACGTTTATCCTTAAAGGAGCTTACACTTAAAGTAGTGACACTTCTGGCGTTAATTACAGGTCAACGTCGTCAAACTTTGCATACATTGACAGTTGAGAATTGCATCGAAGAACACTCAGGTTATAAACTTATTATTTCACAGTGTTTAAAAACATCAAAATGTGGAAAATCTTTACCAATTCTCACTTTACCAAGATATAGCAATGTGAAATTATGTGTATGTGCGGCTTTGAAAGACTATATTTATCGCACGGACACTCTAAAAGGTAACCAAAGTCAGCTACTCATTAGTTTTCAGAAACCTTATGCAGCTGTATCTCTTGACACCATCAGTAGGTGGATCAAACTCACTATCAAAAATGCTGGAATTAATGTCGATATCTTTAAATCTCATTCCACACGCTCTGCGTCTACTTCAGCAGCACTAAATGCAGGTGTTGGGCTAGATGTTATTCTTAAGGCAGCAGGTTGGTCTTCCAGTAGTACATTCTCAAAGTTTTACAATAAACCTGTGCAGAAAGATTCTGACAATTTTGGATTAAGTGTTCTTAAAACAACTGAATCAAAGTAGTTTATTTGGTTATTCTGAGAGAATTAAGCCAGAGAAGATTGGTTTGATGTATTATTATGATTTATTTGATATGTTATAAAATGTATTTAACTTTGTATTAGTTACTTCTTGTTTAAGTAATAAACAAAGATTATTTGTAATCACTTATTCGCTTAATCAATTTGATTACATCTAAAAAGGACGAGATCGACGTCCTTTCATCTTTTCATGACGGACCTAAATATTCATTCAAGTCCGTGTTTTGATCACATAATGTGTCCATCTGTTGGCTTTAAACATCTCACGTGACCTCATTGAATATGTAACATGGTAGAATTTTAAGTTAAACGATCATTTTGTAAAAATGTGAAGTTTGACTGTAATTCTACCTGTTACATTGATTCAATGAGGTCAAGTGCCCTTCCCATGTGATTTCATGGCCCACCCTATCCAGTGTGTTTGCTTGCAAAATGCATATTTATCATCATCTGGAGTAGAATATAAATATACTTTTGTATTCATCTGGACACATTAGTGGTTAAAGACTGATATTTCAAACGTCTGTTGCGTGCGCAATGCTTTCTCACTTGACCTCATTGAATCAATGTAACAGGTAGAATTACAGTCAAACTTCACATTTTTACAAAATGATCGTTTAACTTAAAATTAAACTAAACTATGTAAACTATTTTTTATTTTAACACATATTTATTCCTATTATATCTATTGTGTACAGTAAATGTGAGAAATGAACCTGGTAAAGTCGGAATGATATAAAGCAATGTCTCTACATACTCTACTTAATAATAAACAACATAGAAGGCTTTCAATAGTCTAGTAAACTAGAAAATTAAATTTCATGTAATGCACACAACTTTACCACCTCTCAATGACATTAATAAAGACTTGATATATAAAGCTTGACAGATCGAAAATATTTTTTTATTAGGCTACTATTGTAAGCTCTGATGTGGTTCGTTTGAGCTGTTGTTGGTGTCAAATGGAAGATAAGGTTCCTATCAGTACATTGGACATTCTATAGAATTTAAAGGTAAGTCTTAATTTTGCCCAAACATATTGAAAATACGCAAAGTGGGCCTTTAACAAGTAGTGGAGCAATTTTGTTGAAATTGTACACCCTCTGTAAAGAAAATTAAAAAGGTGCATGGTCTTCTATCAGTCATAACATTTTCATTACTAAACTGTTGGCACATGGTATAATTATTGGCGGAGCTTGTGGAAATTTTAAAAAGTAGATGAAAATTTTAAAAAGTTAGTAATGATTAAAACATTGTCTGACAAACGCACTAATGTGACATTTTCTTTACAGAGGGTATATATGTTACCTCTTAATAAAAAAGTTTTGCATGAGAATACTTTGAAGAATATTACACTGGCAATTTGGCTAATAGACGGTCATTTCCTAAAATGGCGGCCATGGCTGTTGAATGGGATTTCTACGCCTCGGAGTTGCTGTTTTATATTTTTAGTTGTTGTCAGAAAAAGTTTACATTGATTTAATGTTTCTATTGCTATAAGTTACACGATTGACATGTATCATGATTGAAATGTGTAAACTATAGACAAATTAAACTAAACTATGTAAACTATTTTTTATTTTAACACATATTTATTCCTATTATATCCATTGTGTACAGTAAATGGGAGAAATGAACCTGGTAAAGTCGGAATGATATAAAGCAATGTCTCTACATACTCTACTTAATAATAAACAACATAGAAGGCTTTCAATAGTCTAGTAAACTCCTTAAACGTACGCACAGATATAACCATTGTATTTACCCATAGTCCAGGTAACGTCAGATGTTATCCCAGCGGTAGCTAGATATCTGCAAAAGAGAAAAAGTAACTTTCGAGATGAGGTAGGCAAGTGCTGAATGATCACCATGGAGACATATATGGACGTGAACAGATATTTCCTTTTCTGTGTAAATGAAGCGCTTTTCTGCCAGAGAGAACAAATCGTCGGGTGAGAATAATAATGTCCCAAATGCCATTTTTAAAAAAATGAGATATTCACAGATTTCCACTATTTAAATCATCCTCTTTCTTACTGTGATAATCCCTTACCGTTATCTCCTCTCAATAGCCTTCTTTTCAGTGTCAAATTGTCCTAACTCCATAAAAAATTCAAAAATACATAAACTTTGTTTTATGTATCACTAACCAATCGAATTGTTTGAATTACACCTTGTGACTAAGAATTATTATATTACAATTTTAAACTGAGATTTGAATTTATTTCTGAAAAAACGAATCGAGAAATGTGTGTCCATTGAAATACATAGCAACATGGACATAGCTCAGATTTAATCTTTCGATGTTACGAAAAACTCGGAATTGAATTGTCCTATCTCCATTTTTAATATGCTCAAAAATTGGCATAGAAAATCTCAAAATTCTTAAGTGTATACACACATTTTTGATAAAAAGAATGTAAAAATTGCACAAATGACAGATAGATAGTATTGAAGTTACAGATGCCTAAACTTTCAAAAATTGATTTCTCAGTTTTACAAAAATGTGAGTTGGGCCATTTTTATTCTCATGGGGCGAAATGCCATCGGCATTTTGTGTTTGGTTGTTGGATTGAGGAATATCTTATATAAGAAGAGTATTAATCTATCTTGAAACATGTCAAGGATTAGTAAAAATGTATTTCTAAGCGACGGACAAGTGATTTGAAGATACATGTTTACAAGACCATTTATAATTGTTTTCTAAATCAGGTTAATTTCCTGGATATACCACTGCACGCTCAGTGTTTTATTTAGATTAGAATATTTAGATTCAGTCAGTACTTACCGCAGATTTTCAATAATATAGTTCCCAACGAATCCAGTAATTCATCGAACCCGATATTCATCAAGAACTTCGAACTTGGCTCACTCACAATATCAGAGAATTCAACAGTTCCGTTTGTATTCGCGGAGTCTGGTAAATTTACAACGAATACATTTGCAAATGATTCCGTTTTAAGTCTTTCTGCTTCCATTTTGGTGATGGCTACTCTTGACGACGGAAGTATAGCACCATATGTTATCACAAGGACCACATTCTGAATGGGTGGGTTCCTTAATCTTAATGTATCTCTTACTCCGTGAGCAGGTGTAAAATAAGTGAGTCTTGCATTCCTAAGTGCTAAATCTATCCGTGATCCACATCTCGGACGAAATTTATTATCATAATGCATATCCACAAAGCTGAGTGCTTGAACCACATCCGCACTGTTTTTATACCGACTCAAATAAAAATTGCTGTACGTTGTAGAGTCGAATGTCATCAGCCCTAACTGTAAAGCCAAGAATAATTGAAGACTAAGACCAACTCTTACAATCTTTGAATTTTCAATTTTGCATGTGACAAGATCTTATTTTAATTAAGTACGATGTGCAATTCTGAACGTGATCAGCTCTAACATTTGGGACAATGAGCAATTTTGAGAGAGTGATTATCTCTAACTGTAAGAACAAGGTGTCCTTATAAATATGATCTGATGTTTACAGGGCCTCAATAAATATTGACAAAAATGCTTTTTAGATTTGTTATACTTCTAATAAAAACTAATTTTTACTAGAAGACTAATTTTTACTGTACATTAGAGAGGTTTCGCAAAACGTTTTTTAGCTCCACGGATCCGTATCCGTAACGTACTAACCAGATTTATGCGTAGTCAGTTCAATTTATACGTGAAGCGATGCGGGAAAGACGAAAATGAGGCTTTTCTACGTTGGTCATTTACGTATCCCATTTTATCCTTCGATTATATGTTTTTAGTTCTAAAGGTATCACTTTATGAACAAGCACAGTGTGTTGTGTATAATTTGATTTGATTTGAAAGGTCCATGTGCAGTATGGCAAATAATTTTAGACGGTCATATCTTTCACCAGAAATCAGGATGAGTAAGAGACCGACTTGGGCAAGGCTACGAATGCCTATATGGTTTGTTATGTCTGAGAAACTATTTATTGGAATCACTTTATAAAAGAAAGTATGCATATGCTTAGATGGAACTCTACTTTTGAGTGAAATAAAAAGATGCGATATATGAGTAAATAGATGTTCAAATAAAGGTCAAATATTTGGCTGGATAGATTTCACTTGAGCTTGATATACGAGGGGTGATCAATAAGTAATGGACGCTTTTTTACACAGATGCTTTTTATAGACCAATCCCTTCGATTTTCTTAACAGTGATACATCATTCAACTATCTATCAACTCTGACGATTTGAAAACGAAATTTATTATACATGTTGATATATCCTCATTTCCGTGAAGGAGGTACAGGTACCCCGGGACCGACATTTACATCACATATTCTGAAGCTATTTTAGCTTGTTTAACATGCAATGCAGTTGAATGCAGGCTGAACAAAACAAACCATTATGGTCATGAATTCCCCCATTTTGTTATGCCTTAGTTAATTTTTAATATTTTATCATCTCTATGTAGTATTCATGCCACATTCATTCCACATGGCCCTCTAAATAGGTTCCATCAAGTGCTACATGTATACAATTCCTCATCCTCTTAACTCAAGATTGTGAGACAGACTGAATTCATTCTCTGACATGGTAGCAAGAAGCAGTTGCACGGGTTGTTTTATTTAATCAATGTTAATTTTATAACAAACCTGCGTCCTTTCTCTATAGAAATAAGTAGTATAGAAATAAACAAGTCACATGTGAGCAGATGTGGACAATATAGTGCATTGGCCAAGGGCTCAATTTTGAGGTCCAGGGATATTGTTTTCTGAACATTTTGAGATCTGTGGGCAGGTGCATTGTCCATATGGAGTAGGGCGTTCCCTTCTCTCACCGCCCCTTTCTTCCACAATGTTTTCTCAAATTGACCTGCAAACCCCTTCCATACAACACTCTGACATCACAATACTTTCTGTTTATGTGTTACCAGTCAGCAAAAAATGTCAAACAATACAACACTTGTTGCATACAAAAAGTTCAAATCTAACTCAAAACCAAACTGGCTAAAAACTGAATATGTGACCTAAATGTCGGTCCCGGGGTACCTGTACCTCCTTCACGGAAATAAGGATATATCAACATGTATTATATATTTTGTCTTCAAATCTTCAGAATTGATAGATATTTGAATGATGTATCATTGGTAGGAAAATCAAAGGGATTGGTCAATAAAAAGTGTCTGTGTAAAAAAGCGTCCATTACTTATTGATCACCCCTCGTAGACATAGTGAATCACTTATTTTATACAGTTTTCTTTTACTTTTTCTTTTATTCTTTATTCCTACCCACACTTGTGTGAGTATAAAATAGTACACATACATACAATGATAATACAGTTTAGTTTAATTCACTACCACCAATAATCTTCATCAATTTACTTAATTGCAGAATATTTAATATTTGACAACAAACTTTTAAATTTTAACATATTTGGTTGTCTAATGAAGTAGTTATCTCGAAGTATTTTTCTGTCATCTTCAAAAAGTTTACATTCTAAAATATAATGGTACTCATCTCCTAGTCTGCTACATTTGGTACACACTCTCTCTAACCTTGGTCTTTTTATGTATCTCCCTGTTTCTATAGGAAGATTATGATTTGAAGTTATAAGTTTTGTTATATATAATCTAGTGCTTATTGGTTGGCATAAATAGGGTTCAAAAATAAGATTTTTCTTAATGTTAAAATATGTAAAATATGAAGTTTTAGATTTATCTAAGTCTGATAGCCATTGCTGTAGGAATTGATTTTTTAGTTTCCTCTTCACCATATGCTTCAACGCATCCATTGATATAAACTCTTGTATATTCCAAATATATGAAGATCCACAGTCATTTAAAATATTTTCTATTTCTTATAGCCTTTGAAAATTCCCATATTTCACAGCCATAACACAAAATAGGTAATATTAACGTATCAAACAATTCTAATTGAACATCAATTGGTAAATTCATTTCTGTACACTTTCCTAATACTCCATACATGGCATTTTCAGCTTGTTTCTTCAATTGATCAACACCCTTTCTAAACCCTTTGTTGAGATTACGCGTGCTCCTTTGGAACTAATTATAGCATTGATAAATGTACTTATAAAGGCATATTTAAAAATATGATGAGGTCAAAAGGGATATGATGATGTAACGTCAAGCGTGCATGCTTTCATGTTAAGGGACTCATACAATTAGCTACGTTGACCAAAGTGTTTACATTTTCGGATTAGAAGGGTTTATTTGTTTTTAAGGGGTGTTTGCATTGAAGATTTCGTGCAGTACAAAATAATTCTCAGTTTTCCTTATAATGCTTGCGCTGCCCCGTTGTTTTCGTATTCCAAAATAACCAATATAATCACTATTGATAAGTGGATTTTTTTGTTGAATACCTTATTATGTTATTCTAAAGTTATTAAACTATGTATTGAACTGAATGAGAATGTATGTATTTTTACAAACCATTATGTATATGGACACTCTCTTACAATATGGTCTGTGAACATTGCTACCTTGAAATGTGTGGGGCAGATATCGGTCGTTCCCAGGCTTGGTTTTGACAATGAAAATAACCCATCAGATAGGAATCGCATCAAGAGAAAAAAGCTGTATAAACGTTTCTGGTCATTGATGGAAAACTTAGTAGCGTGGCGAAGACCAGAATACGTCGCGAAGAAAAGGGCGATGACACCTGGACACAGGAATCATCCGAATGTAATTTTCCTAAGACAGATAATGCCTGATTGCATTACAAAGGTACATCGACCTTTCGGATTATCATCTTTGGAAAATTCACATAATTTACACTGTTAAATAGATATGTTACGACAGATTTATACATTTATGTGTCTCTCAGATTATCGGCAAATGGACGTTCATCATTTTGGTACTGGTTAGAGGGCCGCACATACACGTAACATGTAAATGTGGAGGGGGTGCCATATCAAGGTCACAAATGGCAGTGAAGAACTGGGGATGCATATACAATATAAATAAACATTGACAAAGCTATAATTATTTATTTCTATTCAATTCAGAAAAGGTTTTGTTCATATTGTGAATAAAATATTGAAGTTGTATTACCAAAAATAAACATAAGACTCTGCTATTGTGCCTGTGAAACATATAACACTACATACAATTTTTGAATGTATTTCTGGGTACATAATATTGTATTCTTGTAATCTAAACCAGATACAAAGTACCCAGTCAAACAAACATATATATCACAGTTAATAAAAACATTTTTATCTATGTTCAACCTATTTATATATTTTCTCTGGACGTTTGTTTACGAATAAAAACAATTTATCTATGCTTCCAGGTAACTAATCCAAATCTTTTCCAAATACTGAAATGTTTTCTTTGATTGATATTTTCGCCCACTGTTTTCTCTTGGAGTTCCCTCGTTTTGAGGAACAACCGCTCTCTTGAATGGTCGATTAACATTTTCATTCCAATGCAAAATAAATAAATCAACCCTGACTTGAAATGACGTATCACCAAAGGAATGCCTTTTAGGCAGAAAAGAACGCAAAGCATTGTTTGCCGCTTCAACGTAACTTGTGCTAAGTCCTTCTAGTACGAGATGCGGATTTTTGTATATTGAAGTGTCATGGACAAATTTCGATAAGAGGTCAATTGCAATTGGATCAGTAAGTAGCACACGAGATGGGGCATATCTTGGGTTTCTTACACAATGGCTCGTAAGCCTGCAACTTTCGTGGTATCCTTGGTAATGTGACACGATCGCATCTAGACTGTCTCGTAGTAGAGTCTCATCATTTCCTGAGTGCATGATGGAGTACCATATGTGATTTTTAATTCCATCATATTTATCAAATAGCTGACCATGCCAACATATATTTTCAGTTTTCTTTGTCCCTTTCGAAATTTTTTTGAAAGATGACATAACATTTTTAATCACATGCCAAACGTCTTTTTGTTCCTTTACTTCTGGAAAATCGTCTTTTACGACCTTGCTCACGCTATTGTTAGAATCGTGCACGATGCAACGAACTTTAATTCCTTCCTGTTTGAAATCATTTAGAATTTCCTTTGTTGCAATCGTTTCATGTCGTTGGACAGAACTGTCATCGTGATTTGTTGATTTCACCTTATCTGCCAATACAGTATGCGTTTCGTTGCAAAGGCCAAATGTTATACTCCTCTTGGCATTGCGGAATGCAGAAAAACACGCATCGGTCTCCATGGTTATCCCAGACGCCCCACTGCCTGCTAAACTATTTTGTATCGCTCTTTCTTTAGACGCTTTGGCTTCGTTGGATATAATCGTAGATAAACGATTGCATGTTTCATTATAAACACGCTCGTTCGTGCTTCCTAATGTAGTAGCATTTAAAAATCTGGTGAATGGAGTATACATAAGTCCACTACAAACTACACCACAAGACATTTTCTCGTTCACGAAAAATTTTGACCAACCTTCGATATAAGGCGATGACTTCCATAAAAATGTGTGCTTGCCATTTGAAATTGTGAATGTGGCCACAAAGTTCGCAAAATCTTCCAATCTAGTAACGATGGCAGTTCTACTAAAATGGCAGCGTTGACCCAGGCTGTACACGGCACCAACGAGCGAATTGATGGACGACTCACACGTAACAAATAAGCGTTCACATTTACTTTGTTCCTTGGTAATGTTCACAAAACTGTTGTAGTGGAAATTGGCATCAGGAACAGCTTCATTACCAATATCTGTGCATTTTACAGCCAGGGATAAGAAATAGTACATAACTTGCACAATCGTAGACAAATCTGGACGCTTTTTGCGGAAGCCATTCCATTGCTCGTTGAAGTTGTCCTTCTCCTCCTTACTGTTGAATGAGAGTTCGATAAACTTCTTGAACTTTTTATTCTTTGCAGCCATACTGAAAAGAAACATATAACAACATATAGTTTAGATAATATTTACAGCGAGAACAAACAACTGCAATTGTGATTGTTTTCCTCTTATATCACGGGGTGCCAACTATGACGTAAAACGACCGTTAATTTGAATTTTAGACCTACCCGATGTTCGAAAATCAAGGATTGTGAGTCTCATACTGCCCGATTTTCTTCAAATTTGTTTTATACAAAGCACAACAAAAATGCCTTTCTGTTGGTACATTATTTTGTTATACAGAGTCTCTCGTTTTAGCGACGTCTTGGTCCCCAGCTTTGAGAAGCGTTTCTCTCAGCTGGGGATCAAAATGCTGCAAAAACGAGAGACTCTGTACAATAAGACAATGTATCGGCAGAAAGGCATTTTTGTTTTGCTTTGTATAAAACAAATTTGAAGAAAATCGGTGCAGTATGACACTCACAATCCTTGATTTTCGAACATCGGGTAGGTCTAAAATTCAAATTAATGGTCGTTTTACGTCATAGTTGGCACCCCGTGTATATATTGATGCTTCTCTGACATCTTTTTTCGCTTTGCTCATTCGTAATAAAATGGATATCACTCAAAATGATCATACAATATTGCATTTTGGTCCTTCAATCGTATTGCTAGCTTATTTATAGGTTTCACTGAATCACAAAAAGTAATTTGATATGACCCATCCCAGGGACAGATCCAGAAATCAAAAAGGGAGAGGGGGGCAATACAACTTAGCATCCCTAAATGCCCTAGAAATACCTAGAAATGCCCCAATAATTGTGGCCCTAAAGCACTTTAGCCCAGATCCGCCATTACATCATTTGATCTCAATGAAAGAATGCTGAGGAGTGAACCGAGCAAAACATAAATCAGTATTTGTAAACAACATATAATAAGAGAATAATCAACAAAATTAAAACATTTAGATATCTTGAGCAGTTGTACAGTTCGCCACTCTGCAATACATATTGTACATATGCCAAGGATCAGTAAGTCGTACACATGTACTTATCATTACGTGTGCAATCATCCACAACACGTTGATATTTTATATGTATCGGCCTGATAAATAATGCAGTGGAAGTTTTCAATGTTTATCCAAAATATATACCCAACACTATATCAATACATAAAAATATACCTTACGAGTTACATCTTGAATAATTATTTGCAATATAAAATATGTTACTTACCTAGATTTGTAAACATGCGAATTTATGTTTAGCACACTGTTTCGACCGTCCTCTCACACCTATCTGAACCAAACTTTGGTTGGCCCTATTTATAGTTCCCGAGTACGGACAATCGCGCGCTCTATATAGATTACCACACACTTTAAGTCAAAACGCACTTGCTGCATTCTTAATATTCTCAGGAAAAAATAAGTAAACGCATATGTACACACTAATTTCGAATATCAAATATCATTTCTACCGAAAACAGAAATGTTTACGCATGTTATACCATAATGCAGTCGGTACTGCACTTCACTCAATGACCACTATTTCAGCCTGCCTATCTGTGTTCAAACCCTTAAATATTCCCCAAAGTATAATTTGACACTGAATTGGTTATTGTCAACAAAAAATATTTTTTCTAGCCTAAGAGATATTCATTTTGAAATTGATTTCATGAAATTAATAAATGGCCCCTTGGAGACGAAAGGGTTAATATGTATTTTTGCATTCACCAATAATACTTATGGAGTTGTGATTCTGAAAGCTGACACTCTCAGTGGTGTATTGAAATCTTAGATCAGATAAAGGCTTTTATTTGACCCTAGTTTTCACTACAATTAGACACGGATTGAGATGCGTTTATAATTATGTACTTCAAAAAACGAACTGCGAAACGCAAATTATCGAAATACGTATCCGTAAACGTAATGATATACGGATGCGAATACGTTTTAGCTAACCCGTTGTGCGAAACCTCTCTATTGCTCAGTATTGTACTGATGAACTGTGAGGGTTATAAGAATGAACTCTATGGAAGATGGTGTTGAGCTAATCCTAATTAGGTGACGCTTGGTGGTCCAAGTCTTAAAAAATGTGAACATTTTCACACATTTTATCAGGTTATTTTTAAACCCATTTTGACAGTTGTTAAATAAACACTGGTACTAAACTGTGTACTAAGAAACCTTGGCAATACCTTACATAGAATGTATTGGTCTTAGATATATCATATTTCGATGTTACCTGGACTTTGTCGTCTCCAGGTCCAATATCCAAGGCAGCAACAAAGCTCTCCATGAACGAATTTACGGCTAACTTTCTTTCGGTAATGACCCTACACGATATATCAATAATAACCACAATATCGACACCACATGACACTGCAAATTAAAATAAAACAGGAGTCATTGAGAAACGTTGATATCCTCATTGTCTGGTTAATCACGCGGTACTAACTTCGACCGTTAATTTGAATTTTTGACCTACGGGATGTTTGAAAATCAAGGATTACGAGTCTCATAATGCACCGTTTTTCTTCAAACTTGATCCATTCAAAGCATTGCAAAAATCCCTTTCTGTTGGTACATTATTCTTCTCAACAGAGTCCCTACTTGCAGCGGCATTTTGGTCCCCGGCTGTAAAAAGGCCTTCTAACAGCTGGGGACCAAAACGCTGCTAGAACAAGGAACTCTTTACAATAAAGTAATGCACCGACAGAAAGGCAATTTTGTTTTGCTTTTAATGGTATAAGTTTGAAGAAAAACGGTGCAATATGAGACTCGCCATCCTTGATTTTCAAACACCCGGTAGGTCAAAAATTCAAATTAACGGTCGAAGTTAGTACCGCGTGTTAATGTATTCACATAATTTAAACTTTGCCCTTGCATCACTTCTCGCATAATAAGCTATCACTTATAATTAACGTTTCCTTATAGGAGATTATAAGCAAAGGATTAATGCTTACATATTTGAGACACGTTATTTGGGTATGCAAAAGAACTTACTGTAATGCTATGAAATATCACTAGTCTAAGCAATCAACTAGCAAGAGAAAGACCAACCGATCAAAGAACCAACAAATAAATTAAATAAGTAACCGAACTATATACTATCCATACAATCAACAAATAGCTTGAATTGAATAAAGATTATCAAAGATAACAAGTCAAAATATTGACTTGATCAAAGGTCTACGGCAACATCTACGTCGATTCAATCTTGAATCTTAATTAACTCTTTCATATTCATACACGCATGTCATTCATGTAGTTAACTCTATCCACGTAAAAGACTAGTCTCGGTTTGGAGAACGAAGTCCGTCTGTCTACTGCACACGTTACGCCTTTGGATAATTTTGACATTTCCCCAAATCTTTTTCAGATTCGAGATTCAAAAAGCTTGGGAATACAAGTCGAAAGTCTTGATGCAATAAAACTCTTCTCTAAAGAAATGAATGAAGTTGTTCATTACCATTCTGATACTTATAGCATCTTTCTGTTTCACCTGAAACATGCTCTGATTATGAGGCATATTCTGTGATATGAGCACATCAGATGGGAGGAATTATAACTGTCAATAAGTGTGATAGTTATCATGTAATCATATACATCAATATATTACATAATAGGCATTGTATTTAACAACAGATATTAGCACAGGCACATGTACACAAGTTTAATGACCCCAATTAAATGAAATATGAGCTGGGATGAAAGATCTCAAAAATCTTCAATTTTAAGCTCTCCTGGATCGCCAAATCAAGCTCATTATATCATGGCATCTCGGGGTTGATAAGAAATGAGATGTCATGGTTTATCATGATAGTTTATTACATGTTTATATCAATTATTTCATATATTATATTATGAATATAATACAATTACAATGACATTCGCTTTTTACATCATAGGCTTTCAAGTCAAGTGATGAAAACCTCTGTCCCAATGTTCACTCTACTATACCTTGCATTTGGTGTTCATGAGCAACCCATTTGGCTTATTAGTAATGATTAGTCTATGTATTTCTTCTTATTTGTCTGGTTCTTATTAATGGTTTATCGGTTGAATGTTAGATGTTACTAAGGCACTTTCAATAATATACTCAACAATACAATTAGACAAACAAAGCATCTTATGCATTTCTTGGTGTTACAACATGTATGGTAACATAGCAAATAAATATGCACTCTACTAGAAATGCATAAGATACTCTGGTTGTCCAATTGTATTGTTTAGTATATTTTTGAAAGTACCTTATCTAACGTCATCCGATAAAGCATAAGGAACAGACAAATAAAAAAATAACATAATCATTACTAATAAGACAAAAGGGTTGCTCATGAACACCCGATGCAAAGTATAGAAGAGTGATATGGTATCATAGGAAATATATCGTTATCATATTTCATTGTAAATACATGATCTAAACATTTCAATGCATAAGATTGCATACATTGGCACTTTCAAAAATCAGTTTTGATGCAGTGAACTTTTATAAAATTATAAGTGAACCTCTGATTAGAACTTGTCAAGAATTTGGCTCCCGTTTGTTGCTATTCCAGTGTTTATTTAGAATCCATCGAATAAAAACATATATACTTGTCTGACAATTGGTTCCAGTAAATGCACCGTTGCACCTGCACGTATAGCTGTCCACTGTGGCAACACAAGTGCCCTCGTTCTGACAGGGATTTGACTCACACGCGTTTATATCTGTAACTGTGAAGAACTAGTATTGGAGACATTCATACATATCATGATTGAAGTAAAACTTAGAGACGTTCTTCTTCATTTCTGTAAAATAAGGAATGGCATATTGTGTAAAAGAAGTTAAGGTTATTTTGAAATCAACGAATAAATATTACCCTTTGCTTTCGTTTGACTTCGCTTCTTAAACGAGATCTGTCTTCAATGCTACAAAACCCTAATAAAGTCTATACTAATTTTTCAATTTTTTCAATTTCTGTTCAAAGTTGTTGTTTTTTCAAAATGTTGTTTTCAAAATATTATTCAACTTTTTTTGCTGAAAATAATTTCCGATTGGATAAACATACAATCCTGCGCTCATTCGTGAAGATATCTATTATCAACTCGATGATATAAATGATATTTTTTCTTTAACGAGATCCGTCTTCAATGCTACAAAACTCTAATATAGTCTTTACTAATTTTTATACTAATTTTTCAATTTTTTCAATTTCTGTTAAAAGATGTTGTTTTTTCAAAATGTTGTTTTCAAAGTATTTTTCAACTTTTTTTGCTGAAAATAATTTCCGATTGGATAAACATACAATCCTGAGCTCATTCGTGAAGATATCCATTATCAACTCGATGATATAAATGATATTTTTGAACTACTATTTTTGATATACCTGTCTGACAATTGATACCACTGTATCCAGCCTTGCAATTACACGTATAGCTGTTCACTTTGTCAACACAAGTACCCTCATTTTGACAGGGATTTGGCTCACACTCATTTATATCTGTAATTGTGAGATATTAGTATAAGAGACATTCATACATATCATAATTGAAGTAAAACTTAGTCATACGCTTGCAAATGCAAGTATATGCATAAAACTACACCCGTCTATGTCTGTAAGTATGGAGGACTGTTAGAGACGATCTTCTTCATTTCTGTAAAATAAGGAATGGCATATTGTGTAAAAGAAGTTAAGGTTATTTTGAAATCAACGATTAAATATTACCCTTTGCTTTTGTTTGACTTCGCTTCTTTAACGAGTTCTGTCTCAATGCTACAAAACTCTAATATAGTCTATACTAATTTTTCAATTTTTTCAATTTCTGTTAAAAGTTGTTTTTTCAAAATATTTTTCAACTTTTTTTTGCTGAAAATAATTTCCGATTGGATAAACATACAATCTTGCGCTCATTCGTGAAAATATCCATTATCAACTCGATGATATAAATGATATTTTTGAACTTCTATTTTTGATATACCTGTCTGACAATTGATACCACTGTATCCAGCTTTGCAATTACACGTATAGCTGTTCACTTTGTCAACACAAGTACCCTCATTATGACAGGGATTTGGCTCACACTCGTTTATATCTGTAATTGTGAGATATTAGTATGAGAGACATTCATACATTCCGATTGAAGTAAAACGTAATCATACACTTGCAAATGCAAGTATATGCATTAAACTACACCCGTCTATGTCTGTAAGTATGGAGGACTGTTAGAGACGTTCTTCTTCATTTCTGTAAAATAAGGAATGGCATATTGTGTAAAAGAAGTTAAGGTTATTTTGAAATCAACGAATAAATATTACTAGACTATGGCCCACTCTGATAATTGTAACTCCTTCCTTACATGAAAGGTTACATATTCCAACCTATTTCAAACCATCTGTATGATGATACTGGACACTTTCTGGGTAGTTGGACTTTCTATAGGGGTGGCAGACGGCCCTCAGACCAATTTATACCCCCACCCCCAAAAAACCATGGGGGTACTTTAATACCACCCAATAAAAAGAATACTAATGCATGTCAGATATTCATTGTTTTATATTGGGTAGGGCATGTTATGGTTAGTAAGTGCCAGAAATTTCCAATCTCTAACTGATATGGTTACCATAGAAACAGTATTTATATCTTGAAACATTCTCAATTTGGCCCCTCCCAAATGTGTCCTTTTGATCTCAAAGTGAAATATTTGCAAATCTGTTTAGATTTTATGGCTCCTACTTTGTCAAAAATTGTATCAATATGTATATTTTAACATTTAAACACTGAAAAGTGTTCATAATGATCCTATAAATCAATAACATTTATCAAATATAGTCACACATAGCTGCTTTTAGGGAAAAGTGGGCGTGGCACTTTTTGGTACGTGTGTACTTGTTGCAGCATTAAATGAAAAATACATATTATACTAACAACAATTGACATTTAATTAGCATCTACTTATGTTATGTAACATTGTAATATGTTCATTATCATTATTAGACACTTTAAATATTTTATATAAGTGTTATCCCGACCCTTCCCTTTATCCCTACACCTTTCAAGATGGGCATTACCAATCGTGTCAAGTTAACATTTCTGTTTGATTTATTTTTACCATAGACAAGGTACAAAAGCTTTACCATGAGTACTGACCTTATTAGGTGCTAAACTGATGAATGGATAGGTAGATGGCAGCACTTGTGCTGGTTGGACTACACGCTAGCATCTACCATAGACACATATTGATTTACCATATTTGTTATTTTGGATTAAAGTAAAACTGCTTTCGCATCAAACTCAATGAGATTCAGATTGTGTTTGAAACTAGATGATCTTCAGATTTTGTGTGAACCTTAAATTCATGACAATCAAAAGAATTCAACATTTAGGAAGTCAACATTAAGATTTTTAACATCGTCTTAATGAGAATTTAGCCCGACCTTTTTCAGAAAGTTAAAGATCATAGAAAATTGAACATAATCAAAGTTCCTCAATAGAACATTTAATCTCCTATAAAATCACATTAAAGCTATATCAGCAATATTTCCAAGCTAAATAGTATTTAGTATCTATCACATCATTTGCAACATTTTCATTATTCGATAGTTCAACCCTATATGAATTATTGATGATTTTAAAAGTGCAAGGAATCTAAATGAATCAGGGAAGCCAGTGATATGTATTTGCCTTATTAATTGTTGACTTATACAATGAAATAGACCTAGATGCAAGTAGAAATAATCTTGCTTTACATCATTAAAAATTCAAAATTCAGTCAAATAAGTGATATCATATTTGAAATCTTCATGTAGAATTACATTTCTTCATGCAATAAGTTAACCTTTTAGTGAGTAGTTGTGACTAATGTAATCATGTACTTATACAATTTGTCAGTAAAAGTTATTTATCCTATACTTAGTGTTATAGGTAAATAAAATGCATGAATATAATTGATACCTTAGGTGAGTGGGGATATACATGTACTGCATATCCCGCTTTATCCCATACTTGGTCGTGTTTCAGGTACATATAGCAGGTTTGTAAAAACTTATATTTTCATCAGCGGGCAGATATAGCTTTACGTCCCGTTCGAGCGGGCAGATATAGTATATCTGCCCATTCCGTCATAATCGCCCTTGGGCAGATATATTATATTTGCCTCGGGATAGTCTCAATATCCTGAACCTCATATAGGATAATCTCTATGTATCGCCAGGTTTATCACCCGCTCAGTAATCCCCTGCAGGAATTTCATTCTGTGCAATTTCTCATATTTTCGTATTTTAGTATATGATAAATAATTTTGGGTACAAGGTATAACCCTTGGGAAATACAATATTCTACCCTCAACCCCTCGGGGAGGTATATTGTATTTCCCTCAGATATATTGTATTTCCCTGTATTAAAAACTTCCCATTAATTAAACCTCATATATAAAGCACACGATTTTAAATATGAATCAAAACTATGAATTAGTGATATCCATGTTTCTAACGAAAGCATGAATTTGAAAGAAACAAACATTCTACTCATATGGTATAAAGATATTACCAGTTGTGTCCATTTTAGATTTGATTGAAGAACTTGAATTAGAGGCAATTTTGAAATTACAATATATTTAAAGAGGCTCTGTTGCTTAGATGGGAGAATAAATTAGCTGCATTGTTCAGTTTATGACAAAACTGATGTTTAGTGTTACTTTCATGAACACCCATCCTGTAAAATAACATTTCGAATCTAGTAGTTTGTATATAGATGAATTAGATGAGGCATTGTCGAGGGAAAATATCTAACAAGATCCAACTGCTTATATATTTACTAGTTTGCTCAGGAAATTAGGCATACTTTAACTTGAAACATTTTGTAACACTCAATTTTTGGGGTTTGGAGATCGAAGTAATAATGATGAAAAACAAGCAATTTTAAAATATTTATGTTTTACCCAAATTTTTAAAGATTTTTGTTAGCCTTTGTTTTGTCTGTTTTATTCTCAAATAAATCATGGTCATCAATTCTATTGTGACATAATCATCATTTACCAATTTTAAAATTAAATATTACTAGTTAGAGAATGTGATTTCTTACTTTAGGTTATATTTATATCCCGATTTATATGTATAATAATAATTGATGAAGACGAATAGAGATTATCCTCTATGAGGTTCAGGGTATTGGAATTATCCCGAGGCCAATATTATATGTCTGGCCTAGGGTCGTTGGTCCCGAGGGAAGATATTTTCTATTGGCCAAAGGCCTTAGGTCCTGAGGGAAGATATATTATATTCACCAAGGGATAATCCTAATAGCATGAACTGACTATAGGATGATCTGTTTATCCCATATCAATCTTTCTTATCTGGTTCACATTGTTCAATTGGCCAGCGTTAGAAAGAATTCAACCATATGAATGTATTCATGTCTAATTTTGTTTTCTTGGCCTTAGGAGGATTCTCCTGTTTTTTAAGTATTCATCCACATATTCTGGAATCATTGATTATTAACATATGTATTAGTATGCTACTTCCCTCATTGCTAATCATACACAAATGATGATTATGACTTAGTGGCCAGGTGTAATATATCTGCCCTCTCAGGCCGGGACATTAGCTATATCTGCCCGCTGATAAAAATACAAGTATTTATAAACCTGCTATATGTATCTGAAACATGTCCAAGTATGGGACAAATGTATCTACTTTTTTTGATTTCATACACTAAACAGATTTGTTTAGGAATTACTTGAAGTATTTCAAAAACATATACCGAACCACTATTGAAGGAATCATTGAAAATACAGCATATCAGAAACATGTGTAAATTGTTTATCTTGCAATTATTTTGCTAAATACTAATAGAAATTATACTGTACCTTCCAGAGAATAGTTTTTTTGTTAACTATGAGCCAATGAATGAATGGATGCATTTTATTATAACTGCAAAATGATGCTCATACAAAAAATTAATTTTGCCATATTAGAATCAAGTATAATCTTTAATCCATTGGATAGATCATGCATTGCCTGATGTTGAGGTATTGATAAAAGAATCAGCAAGTGTCTGACAAAATAGATTTTGGTGTTATGTATTAGGCAAAATATTAGGAAGGGTATAAATGGTCTCCAATCTTTCTAGTTTTGAGTATTACGTCTTCTTGCTTTGATTCAAACTATCCTCGGTCACTATTTGTAACCCCTCCCTCCTTCCCCATTTAGGCCATGGATATGAAGATGATTTAGAGGTTATGTGAAGGATTCTAGGGAAGGGTTAATAGCCATAGTTATATTAGTTCATTTAAGTTTAATCATAAATGTTATGCAATTCACACTAGCATCAAATATCATACCAAAAGGATTGAACTGTTCATTACTTTTCAATTGCAGTAAACATGGTGAAATGGTTCTAAATATTGAAGCCTGTTGAACAAGCATATTAATTAATTGTAACTCATAGCTCTAGATGACTTGAACTTATCCATTCATATTCTAGGAACAAGTCAATGAATAAGTAAGACTTGACTCTTGACAGACTTAAAAGACCGAGGACCCTATAAGACTTAAACTAAAAGTTAATTTGACCATTGATGACCTATGATAGGGAAGGGTCAGGATAACACTTATATAAAATATTTAAAGTGTCTAATAATGATAATGAACATATTACAATGTTACACAACATTAGTAGATGCTAATTAAATGTCAATTATTGTTAGTGTAATCTGAATTTTTCATTTAATGCTGCAACAAGCGCACAAGTACCAAAAAGTGCCACGCCCACTTTTCCCTGAAAGCAGCTATGTGTGACTATATTTGATAAATATTATTGATTTATAGGATCATTATATCAACTTTTAAGTGTTTTAGTGTTAATATAGACATAATATTACAAATTTTGACAAAGTAGCAGCCATAAAATCCAAACAGATTTTGAAATATTTCACTTTAAGAACAAAGGGACACATTTGGGAGGGGGTCAAATTGAGAATATTTCGAGATATAAATACTGTTTCTATGGTAACCATATAAGTTAGAGATTGGAAATTTCTGGCACTTATTAACCATAACATGCTCTACCCAATATAAAACAATGAATATCTGACATGCATTAGTATTCTTTTTATTGGGTGGTATTAAAGTACCCCCATGGTTTTTGGGGGGTAGGGGTATAAATTGGTCTGAGGGCCGTCTGCCACCCCTATGGAAAGTCCAACTACCCAGAAAGTGTCCAGTATAATCATACAGATGGTTTGAAATAGGTTGGAATATGTAACCTTTCATGTAAGGAAGGTTGCATTTCTAGAGCACTTCTACAGAATGGGTTACAGTCTATACCCTTTGCTTTCGTTTGACTTCGTTTCTTTAACGAGATCTGTCTTCAATGCTACAAAACTCTAATATAGTCTTTACTAATTAATATTTTTCAATTTTTTTGCTGAAAATAATTTCCGATTGGATAAACATATAATCCTGCGCTCATTTGTGAAGATATCCATTATCAACTCGATGATATAAATGATATTTTTGAACTTCTATTTTTGATATACCTGTCTGACAATTGATACCACTGTATCCAGCTTTGCAATTACACGTATAGCTGTTCACTTTGTCAACACAAGTACCCTCATTATGACAGGGATTTGGCTTACACTCGTTTATATCTGTAATTGTGAGATATTAGTATCAGAGACATTCATACATATCATATGATTGAAGTAAAACTTAGTCATACACTTGCAAATGCAAGTATATGCATAAAACGACACCCGCCTATGTCTGTAAGTAAGGAGGACTGTTAGAGACGTTCTTCTTCATTCCTGTAAAATAAGGAATGGCATATTGTGTAAAAGAAGTTAATGTTATTTTGAAATCAACGATTAAATATTACCCTTTGCTTTCGTTTGACTTCGCTTCTTTAACGAGATCTGTCTTCAATACAATCCTACACTCATTCGTGAAGATATATCCATTTATATCCAAAGAACATGTGTATGTTTTAATAGATTTTATTACATAAAATATAACATATTACAAAACTTTTTGGCATGGGGAGACGGCTATCTATCGATCAGAGCTTGCGTAATTGTATACAAAAGAAACGATTACGTAATTATGAGGTAATGTTACGTAATGACGGCGCAAAATCATGATTATGCAACCTTATATAATCATTTATCTTTGGGATAAGAGCACCCTGGGGACCGAATGCTGAGATAGATAGCCGCCTCCGAAATCCGGGCCACCCGATACCCCCTATTAAGGGGCGAAGGGGTGGGGCGGGTAAGCGTCCGACTTCCTCAAGATGCGAAGCTAAAACTGTGTAAACCAAACTACTATAGGACAGGTGGTATAGCATTAAGATAAATTATTGTCCTGGCCTAATTGGATCTGTCAACAGACTTTTAATTTGACTGGTAGGACAGACATTGTTCTCTGTGATATAAACCAGATTTAACATATTACTTGTTAAATCACAACTTATATCCAAAGAACATGTGTACGTTTTAATAGATTTTATTACATAAAATATAACATATTACAAAACTTTTTGGCATGGGGAGACGGCTATCTATCGATCAGAGCTTGCGTAATTGTATACAAAAGAAACGATTACGTAATCATGAGATAATGTTACGTAATGACAGCGCAAAATCATGATTATGCAACCTTATATAATCATTAATCTTTGGGATAAGAGCCCAAAAACAAGTATTCTCGTGAATGAGTGTTTAATTATAACAATTAAATACTCCGTGTGTGATAGGATACGCCGTTCCCCAAAGCATTATCAACTCGATGATATAAATGATATTTTTGAACTACTATTTTTGATATACCTGTCTGACAATTTATACCACTGTATCCAACTTTGCAATTACACGTATAGCTGTTCACTTTGTCAACACAAGTACCCTCATTTTGACAGGGATTTGGCCCACACTCATTTATATCTGTAATTGTGAAGAACCAGTATTAGAGATAATTCATACATATCATACACGTACAAATACAATGGGTATTAAACTACACCCGTCTATATCTGTAAGTATGAGGGACTGTTAGGGACGTTTTTCTACATTTCTGTAAAATAAGGAATGACATATCGTGTAAAACAAATTAAGGTAATTTGGAAAACAACGATAAAATATTACCCTTTGCTTTCTTTCGACTTCGCTTCCTAAATTACTTTTTTGCTGAAAATAATTTCCCATGTGATAAACAGACAATCGTGCGCTCTTTCATGAAGATATTCATATCGATTCAATGATATAATAAATGATATTTTTGAAAACACATAGGATATTCCGATATTATCTTACACTTAGTGAACTGAATGTATAATAACATTAAAAAATAAATTTGATATCAATGGGCAAAATGAATATCTGGAGGAGATCGCAACGATATACTCCGGAAAACCAATATACAGTTGATATTGTGACGATATACTCCGGAAAACCAATATGCAGAGGATATTGTGACGATATATTGCGCATGTTGATTTCCCACCAAATTGAACTATTTGACATAAAATTTAATATTCAATGATATCATAAATTTAGTGCACTACAAGTAAGTGGAGGATTATAAGAACATTCTATGATTTTTTCAGAATATAATTTTAATCTACTCGGTGATATTGATATGTGCACCCGTTCGCTTTGCTCTCTCATGCAGATATCAATGTCACCTCGTAGATAAAAATGATATTCTTCAAAATCATAGGTATTATTGATATGAGCACTCGTTCGCTTTGCTCTCTCGTGCAGATATCAATATCACCTCATAGATAAAAATAATATTCCTCAAAATCATAGGATATCCTATAAATATAAATATATATACCTGTCTGACAATTGATTCCAGTATATCCAGCTATGCAATTACACGTATAGCTGTCCACTTTGTCAACACAAGTGCCCTCGTTCTGACACGGGTTTGGCTCACACTGGTTTATTACTGTAAATGTTAACTGTAAACTAGTATTAGGGACATTCATGTATCAGTATTGAAGTACCAGATTCAGGTACACGCAAGCAAATCCAATAGTATGTATCGTCTCTGTCAATAAGTGTGGGGAACAATAAGGGACATTCATATTCTTTCCTGTAAATAATTTCAATGGAATATCGGGTAAAAAATGTTACCTGTCTGACAATTGATTCCAGCATAACCAGCCTTGCAATTACACGTATAGGTGTTCACTTTGTCAACACAAGTGCCCTCATTCTGACAGGGATTAGGCTCACACTCGTTTATATCTGTAACAATGAAGAACTGGTATTACAGACACTCATACATATCATGATTACCCCATGGTACATACAGTTGAAAACGAGGCTGGAAACAATGAAATACTGAATTTACTGGAGTTGAATATCTGTATATGTTTCTGAGGGTGCATTCACTGCAGACCGAAGGCCGAGGTGAATAAACATCCCTCAGAAATATATACAGAATATATTAAACAATCACAGAATTCGATATTTGTTATATTATTTCCCCCTTATAGTAGCACACAATATTAAAGTGACGTCACTGTCGGTGAATACACTATTCACACGTTTTTCTAAGCAGGGAGACATGGAATACCTCTATATATTTTAGCCACGTGGTATCTTATTGACCAATGTGAGAACGAGTATCACAGCATCGAAATAATAAACCCAAATATTTTTAATCATGTGATTGGTTCTTATCCAATGAGAAAAAATGTCGCACTTCTCCAAGATATCAATTCTATATCCCGGTGTTGTGTACCTGAAACCACACTTGTCAAAGGATAATCATATATATACACTCCCCTCCATGAGTTTGGCAACCTTTTTAGATTTTTGTGTGAACAACATTTCAAATTGGAAATTTTAAGAGAACGTTTTGCCATATAGTTTCACTAATATATTATGTAAAGTCATGAAATCTTGGCATTATATTTGTCTGATGTTCAACAATCTTTACTTAGCGTTGGAATTGTAATTAAGGCTTAATCTTTTGTTGCTTTTTTGTGCTGAAAGTGCACGATCATAGCTTCGCGAGTTTTGCAAACATAAAAAATAACATATTAAATTTATGATTGCCATGTCGCTTTGTTTTATTGTCCATTATCATATTACATTTTATATGCTTAACTGTGCCGTAAACAGGCAAAATATGAAACTCTGTCATTATTTAACATGAAATTGCGCTCGTGGTGTAAACATACTTTAAATAAGCAGAAATGTTATAAAAGTGATTCTAATATAAAGTCAACAAGTTGATAATCATATCTAGTGGGATAACTACGACTAAGGATAAGGGCACGAACTCTTCTGGGCATGCTTTCAAAGAGTCTCCTGATGTACTGCCCAGGGATTTGAACCCATGCTCTATGAACGGCGATTTCCAGCTCGCGGAGGTTGTTAATTTGGAGATTCTGTATCTGGCGATCAATATAATGCCACATATTTTCAATAAGTGATTGGTCTGGGGAATATGCAGGCCATCTCATTTTGTTAACGCCGCTTTGAAAGAACCACTCTTCAACTTGATTTGCAGTATGAACGGGAGCGTTGTCCTGTTGAAAGACGTAGCGCTGCTCTCTGTCACCGAATATCTGTTCAATGGATGGTAGAAGGTTATCCTGCAAAATATCTCTATATACCCCTCCCGTGATGACTCCAGGGGCCGTGACTAGCTCCCCAACACCATGATACCCGAGACACCCCCAAAACATGAGACCACCACGTGTTACAGTTCGTCCCATGTCAAGGCACTCTGGATTGTACTTCTCAGCATTTGTGCGCCACACAATCGTCCTGCCATCAGTTTCTCCAATATTGTATTTCGTTTCATCCGAAAAAAACTACTTTAGACCAATGAGTATTGACATCCCAAAGCCGGACAACATTTGCCCATTCCAATCGTCGTTGTCGTATGATGGGGGAAGTATTAGGCTTTTTCTTGGCTATTCGACCGTACAGACCTCTGTTCTGTAACCTGAAAGAATAAAGACATTTAATAGAACATAATAAAACTTTAACACAAAACCATCATTGTCGGCAATAGTTAGCAATAATTGCGTAAAGTTGATGAATATTTTCGAAAAGTTCGTCAAAATTAAAGTATGAAAAATAAAAAGTGACAATAGAGAATTTTCGTTATAAGTTGTTTCAAAAACTTATAAGTATACTTATAGTTTAAAGGGTCTTGTCGAACTAAAATTGCTAGTGTCAATTATGAACACGATAAACTAAACGCTAGTTGACGGGTCCTTGTAGTGTACGATAAACAAGACCCTTTAAAGTGAATCACTACACGGACGAGTCGATCATTTCAAAGTTCTCATGAAATTATAAGGTCAATTTTTAAGTTTTTACGTATAAAAGGGCCTTTATACGCAGATTATAAACTTACAGAGTTGGATCTCCGCATAGTATATGTGTGGATCTACTGACCAGAATGGATTATTAAAATTAATCGGCTGAATAGGCATAGTATCCAATCAAACAGCTCGACTCATTCATTAGCTGAACTAATTCTCCCTTCGTTATTTCTACAAGGTGATTCAAAACGATCATCTACAAAAAATATATTTGAGAGTAGATAAATCTGTAAAACCCGTGTGCTATATCAGCCTATTTGATTCTAGAAGACACATATGACACAACTAAACATGCTTTACATCAAGGGGGTACGGATGGTATGCCATTGGTCCTTTTTATTACTGTCCTAGGAGATATTTCCCGACGAATTAGGAAATTATGAAACACCTTGTTTATTGGGTTTATAAGTATAACGAAAATTCTCTAATATCGCACCTTCTCCTGATAGTAGAGTAGCTTGCACGTATGTTAAAGTTCATCTGCCAGAAGGTTTTCAGTCTTGGAACTGTTGTCTTACGTTCTAGCCGGGTAGGGCAATAACGGTTGCCCGTTCTTCACGAGTTAGCTGACGTGTAGACCCCATGAGAAATGAGCGAAATGTCAACGCATGTTTCATGTATCATACGTGTATCAAGACAGTGATCAAATCACTCATTCACTGTCATGCATGATTGAATCAATTGTTCAGAACTCATTTCACCAATAAAGATCAAAATAATATATCTCACCAAACCGGTATTCTACTTTAAAAAGAGCACTGCCAATATGTGACCAAATCATGTATCCTTGTTATAGCAAACGAAATGAACCATACAAATGCACTAATGCGTTCAATAATAGTAGATTATAAAGATCACTATATATATCACACATCCGGCTTTTCGAAAATATCATGAAAAATTTATTTTTGGAAAACTACTGTTTTGATACTTCTACCATGCGGAAATTGTTTGATGAATTTACATGTATAAAAAGGTTGCCAAACTTATGGAGGGGAGTGTACCTGTCTGACAATTGTTTCCAGTATATCCAGCCTTACAGGTGCACGTATAGCTGTTCACTTTGTCAACACAAGTACCCTCGTTCTGACAGGGACTTTGCTCACACTCGTTTATATCTGCAATTGTAAGATAGTATAATAGACATTCATACATATCATGATTGAACCAAGACTATCAATACACATGTAAATAGGTATAAGACTACACCGGTCAATGTCTTAAAGTGTGTCGAACTATTTTCCGAGTTCATATTCATATATATCGGGTAAAACAAGTTAAGGTCATTTGGAAATCAATAATTCAATACTCATATATATACCTGTCTGACAGTTGATTCCAGTATATCCAGCTTTGCAATTACACGTATAGCTGTCCACACTGTCAACACAAGTGCCCTCATTCTGACAGGGATTTGGCTCACAGTCGTTTATATCTTTAATTGTGAGATATTAGTATAAGAGACATTCAAACATATTATGATTGAACTAAGACTTAGTCATACACGTGAAAATAGATTAGGTATAAGACTACACCGGTCAATGTCTTAAAGTGTGTAGAACTATTTTGCGTGTTCATATTTATTACTGTAATAAAATACATATCGGGTAAAACAAGTAAAGGTCATTTGGAAATCAACAATTCAATACTCATATATATACCTGTCTGACAATTGATTCCAGTATATCCAGCTTTACAATTACACGTATAGCTGTCCACACTGTCAACACAAGTGCCCTCATTCTGACAGGGATTTGGCTCACAGTCGTTTATATCTGTAATTGTGAGATATTAGTATAAGAGACACTCATACATATCATGATTGAACTAAGACTTAGTCATACACGTGAAAATACAATAGGTATACGGCTAAACCAGTCAATGTCTGGAAGTGTGTGGAACTATTTTCCACGTTCATATTCATTCATTAAATATAATACATTGGTTTATTGGGTAAAACAACTTAAGGTCATTTGGAAATTAACAATTCAATACTCATATATATACCTGTCTCACAATTGATTCCAGTATATCCAGCTATGCAATTACACGTATAGGTGTTCACTTTGTCAACACAAGTACCCTCGTTCTGACAGGGATTTGGCTCACACTCGTTTATATCTGTAATTGTGAGATATTAGTATAAGAGACATTCATACATATCATGATTGAACTAAGACTTAGTCATACACGTGAAAAAACAATAGGTATACTGCTACTACGGTCAATGTCTGGAAGTGTGTTAAACTATTTTTGTACGTTCATATTCTTTCCTGTAATATAATACATCGATATATTGGGTAAAACAAGTTAAGGTCATTTTGGAAATCAATAATTCAATACTGATATGTATAAATACCTGTCTGACAATTGATTCCAGTATATCCAGCTATGCAATTGCATGTATAGCTGTCCACTTTGTCAACACAAGTGCCCTCGTTCTGACAGGGATTTGGCTCACACTGGTTTATTACTGTAAATGTGAACTGTAAACTAGTATTAGGGACATTCATGTATTGAAGTACCAGATTCAGGTACACGCAAGCAAATCCAATAGTATGTATCGTCTCTGTCAATAAGTGTGGGGAACTATAAGGGACATTCATATTCTTTCCTGTAAAGAATTTCAATGGAATATCGGGTAAAAAATGTTACCTGTCTGACAATTGATTCCAGCATAACCAGCCTTGCAATTACATGTGTAGCTGTTTACTTTATCAACACAAGTCCCCTCGTTCTGACAGGGACTTTGCTCACACTCGTTTATATCTGTAAGTGTGAGAAGAACTGAACTGCTGGTTATAGTATTAGGGACGTCCATACATATGAGGATTGAGGACAAGACTGATGCATAAGTCACATTCGATATACGGCAACCACACGGCGGTCGTAGGTTCCCAAAATCGAAACAAATATGCAGAGTAATATAGAGGGATAAGCAGTACAATTTCAATTTTCTCAAACTTTTTTTAGCTACGGTCGCCGACGAGCAATTGTAACCGAGGTTTTAAGCACACACGTGGAAATGAAATAAGTATACTACACCAGTCTATGTCAAAGTGTGATTATCATCGACTGTACTGAATTATTCAATAAATACCGAATAAATATTATATATGTCTCTTATACATAGCAACATTCGCAGTTTACCAGCAAAACAATAGAAATCAACAAACACGATCTCTGCTATTGACAAGCCACTTTACGAAAGAGCACTCTCAGAAACATGGCTTTATAAAAAAAAGAAACGCATTTTTCAAATTCTTTAACTATAATGGCTACTCTCAATCACGTAACACAAGAGGAGGAGGGGTAGGCATATATGTTCATGATTCTATGATTAACATTGAAAGACCCGATTTAAATTTAATAATACTGTGATGTGATGAGTATTGAGATTCTTGTTGAAAAACCTATTATTCACTAGTGTTTATAAGCCACACAATGTTGATACCGATGACTTTAATAATGATCTCAACACTTATCAATCCCAGCTCTGTCTAGAAAATAAACGTTGTTATGTCACCGGAGACTTAAAGGGCCGACAAGGTCTGTTGAGATAAAATTCTTTTTTTACTTTTTCTGAGCTATCAGGACAACATTTGGCTTAACATCTTTTTTGACATACCTATTTTCTCAAAATGTATGTATAAACTATCAATTTCAGCATTAAGAAGTGTAGACTAAGTTCAAAGCTTCTATAAAGGGAGTCCCACTTATAGATTTTTAAGATCCATCAAGTTTCAAGAGGAATATCAGCTGAAATAATGTTCAATTAGAGAGTTTCTTTGGAGGAAATAAAAATATATGTTAGTCTTGATGAAATATCCAAACTTGAATATATTTGGACACTGGTCCATGGTCCTCGAATGGCCTCTCTGCACTAATTGTTGCACCTTTTAATAGTGACTTATTTAAATTAGCTCAACATACTCCAACACAGACTTTTTGCAATTTGTGACTTCATTTAATCTAGTTCCTCTGATTTACAAAGCAACCAGAGTCACATCCACATCTGCTGCACTTATCGATAATATCTTTACAAATGACTCTAAGGCAGACTAGTACTCGTGTGGCATAGTCTTTAATGATATATCAGAAAATGTCCTGTTATTGCCTCTTGTAAAAAACATATCAATAGAATAAAAAGTATCAAAGTGCAACAGCGAAAATATACTGAGCCCAATATGCACTTATTAAAGAACTATTTTCAAACAAAAAGATTGATTTGTAGTATTGAACTTTGAGAAACTTAGATATCACTGTTTGTGATTTAGTTTGATGATTTTGACCTTTGACCTTATACATTCTACTTTTTAGACCTCGGTGGGTCGTTTGCGATTAAAGTACCTATTTGTTAGTAACAATTGATCAATTAGAACGTGTATAAATTGTATTTTGACCTCATGACCAACAAGCTGGCACTTTCAGACAATGCATAGAAATAAAGTAAATAAAGAAATATGGTCTGTCCTATTCAATTCTTATTAACATTATCATACCTGTCTGACAATTGATTCCAGTATATCCAGCCTTGCATCTACACTTATAGTTGTTTCTTCTGTCAACGCAAGTGCCCTCGTTCTTACAGGGGTTTGAAAGACACTTGTCGATACCTATAAGCGTGAAGAATTATAAGAACTTAAAACGTATCACGATTGAAGATTTGGGCGCATGGCTAAAGATGTAATAGGCATAAAACTACAACAATCTACATTGTATTTCTATTTGTAAGTAAGTAAGTAGTCATCAAGCACGATCAAACAGATCGTGATTAAAGTATACGATCGAATACATAGCTGCAGATGCAATATGTATCAAACTACATCCATCTTCATTGTAGTTCTGTTTGTGTAAAGAAATATTAGGCACGAGCATACACATCGTGAGAAAAGAGAATACGATTGAATACACAGCTACAGATGTAATATGTATTAAACTACATCCATCTTCATTGTAGTTCTGTTTGTGTAAAGAAATATTAGGCACGAGCATACACATCGTGAGAAAAGAGAATACGATTGAATACACAGCTACAGATGTAATATGTATCAAACTACATCCATCTTCATTGTAGTTCTGTTTGTGTAAAGAAATATTAGGCACGAGCATACACATCGTGAGAAAAGAGAATACGATTGAATACACAGCTACAGATGTAATATGTATTAAACTACATCCATCTTCATTGTAGTTCTGTTTGTGTAAAGAAATATTAGGCACGAGCATACACATCGTGAGAAAAGAGAATACGATTGAATACACAGCTACAGATGTAATATGTATTAAACTACACCCATCTTCATTGTATTTCTGTTTGTTTAAAGAAATATTAGGCACGAGCATACACATCATGAGAAAAGAGAATACGATTTAATACACAGCTACAGATGTAATATGTATTAAACTACACCCATCTTCATTGTATTTCTGTGTGTTTAAAGAAATATTAGGCACGAGCATACACATCGTGAGAAAAGAGAATACGATTGAAAACACAGCTACAGATGTAATATGTATTAAACTACACCCATCTTCATTGTATTTCTGTTTGTGTAAAGAAATATTAGGCACGAGCATACACATCGTGAGAAAAGAGAATACGATTGAATACACAGCTACAGATGTAATATGTATTAAACTACACCCATCTTCATTGTAGTTCTGTTTGTGTAAAGAAATATTAGGCACGAGCATACACATCGTGAGAAAAGAGAATACGATTGAATACACAGCTACAGATGTAATATGTATTACAATACACCCATCTTCATTGTATTTCTGTTTGTGTAAAGAAATATTAGGCACGAGCATACACATCGTGATAAAAGAATACGACTGAATACAGTTTTGCAGATGCAATATGTATTACAATACACCCATCTTCATTGTATTTCTGTTTGTGTAAAGAAATATTAGGCACGAGCATACACATCGTGATTGAAGAATACGACTGAATACATAGCTGCAGATGCAGTATGTATTAAAATACACCCATCTACATTGTATTTCAGTTTGTGCAAAGAAAAATTAGGCACGAACATACAAATCGTGATACAAGAATAAGATTTAATACATAGCTGCATTTCAATATCAATATCAAACATCAAACTACACCCATCTTCATTGTATTTTAGTAAATGTGTGGAACTTTTATGAACATTCAAACATATCGCGATTGATGTACAATATTGAGACACACGCCTGTTATTGGAGTCAGTAACTGCAATAAACCCCTAGAATTGCACATATATAAAACAAAATTTTAGTAGTATCATTTGTACATACATCTACACAAGTGGTGTTAAAAAGTGTCCCATTGGATAGAAAGGGGCCTCAAAAATTGTGCACATTTGCAGTGAGCCCCATGTTGATTTGATTTATTTTGTTGATTTATCAATCTTCAAAAGACCCCTGCAGAACGGTTTTGAGCAATAAAGTCCTTCTTTTTAGTATGTTACCATGATGGTCTTTAAAATAAAAAAAATGGTTACAAGCTGGCGATTCAAAGCACGTCATGGTTTTACATAAAATGATTTTTTGTCAAAAAATCTTAAAATATGTTGAGATTTATGGTATTTTTTGACTTTTCCATTTTCATGAAAAAATATTCAAGCATTTAACTAGCACTAATATGAATTATAAATGATTTCCAATATCGCATCTAGTTAATTTGTGACTTTCTGACTTATGTCAAACGTAGCGAATGAATTTGTGATCAGCATGGTCGGTTGATGATTCATAACTACGATATAGATAAAAAATACAAGCCTTTTCGACTAAAAAATGGATTTGAATGTCGGTCTTTAGAAGCCGGCTTCATGGTGACGGCAAAAGCCGGCTTCTGCAGGATGTAAGACGCCTACTTTCAAAGCCAGTCTGTTAATGATTAAAGCTTAGAAGACTATATATAACTTGTGTATGTTAATGTGTATTATGTCCCAGTCAGCGCTGATCAACGGTAACAGTACGGCGGCCGTAGCTGCCCCAATACGAAAAATATGCAGCATTAATAGGGATAAGCAGTACGATGTAGATGTTCTCTATCTATTTTGTGAAGCTACGGCTGCCGTATACCCACTTTTAAGCAAATGAGACTGGGGCACTAGGAACATTCTGACATAATTGGGATTTAACTAGGAAAGTATTAAATAAGACTTGTGCACATGCCTGCATGCCGTAACCAACGATAAAATATAAAATACAAGTTCATGAACATACCTGTCTGACAATTGACTCCAGTATATCCAGTTTTGCATCTACATTTATAGCTGTTTCCTTTGTCAATACAAGTGCCCTCGTTCTTACAGGGTTCTGAATGACACTTGTCTACATCTTTAAGTAATAAGTAAAATATTAAAAGGTAATCAGTAAAATGTTAGAAGATATTTAATGCAAAGGATGTACAACCCGCTTGCGAAAAAAAATATAAAAATTGTGAAGTCTTACACCTCAAATTTTGTAAATACATACTCAGAGTTAAAGCAACCACACCCTCATTCATGATATATGGTGAATTGGGGCGCTACCCTTTGCACGGTGCCCATGTCAAGCTGCGCGCCTACTTAGGCGCGCAGTTTGTTTCGATCACAAACTGCGTGCCTAAGAACATTGCATCATTTAAGTTGGAGTCTGTATTTTGAAACATAATTTAAATACATTTATCCTGCATTGTTTTCTTGTTTAATGCGTTCATTCTGTGGCGAATATACGAATCTTGCAAATACTAGCAAAAACTATGTGCAAATGAATCTAAGTTTTAAAACATAAGCAGATTAATGGCATTTTCGTCACTGATTTAACGGGAATTTATACGTAAATCGATCTAGCACTTTAAACATAAATGACAAATACTTTAGACTCGTTTTATATTTAATTCCTTACACATTTATCATGTATAATTCAAAATATTTCGAGATAAAACAGATAATCAGGAGATTAAAAAGAAATAAACCACAAACTGCGCGCCTATTTTAGCCAGAAATTACAAATTGTGCGCATACACCATTAAAACTACATATTATCATTGGAATTTCTACAGAGGCACGTGTAGATGTTTTTCATGTAGCTTTGGAAATTTTGCTTTATCGTCAGATTTTATGAGATTTTCATATTGAAAGTCAAAATGTATAATAGAAGTGACAATTAAGTTAGGAACGAAAAAAACTTTTATTTTCAGATCACCATATTGGTGGATGGACTGTCATAGTGTTTCAATTATGGGGTTCTACTATTAGACACATATGTGCCTTGTATGGCGCTTATGTTTTCTAATAATACAAAACAAGCTTGGATAGGCAAGCAGTTTGGAAATATTAGGCACGCAGTTTGGGAAATACATGTGAATATAGGCGCGCAGTTCGACAAGAAAAATGTTTAAATCACGTTTATGACGTATTATCGTTTTGAACACAAACTTTGCTGATTTAATCAGATGGAGTGATCCTATATATTCTAGCATACACAGACACAATGGCTGAATAAACGGCAAATGACGATAAAAAGACATAGATATAACTTTACACTGTAAATTTTGAACACAGAAGTTACTTAAGACCCTTATATTGAGATAACTAGGTTTACATCGGGAAAAACATTGAGTACTATGAGTAAATTAAGTTCATCTTCACAGAATGGTACTATCTTTAGACCGAGACTAGCCTTGTATTTTTCGTATTTTGGCTCTTTTTGGGAGTCGTGTCCTCTCCGTCTCACATTTTGAAATATGCGCGCAGTTTGTCAGAGTTTCAAACTGCACGCTGCTTGCCATGGGCATCGTGCTTTGGAAATACACATTAAAACAAGAATGGTAAATTTTTGGGGTAAATTGATACAAAATAAAGCAACAAGTAGTTCCATTTATAAAGCTATGCTTCAATTACATATAAGGGGTATATACAGCTCACCATGGTTAAGTACAGTAGAAAATATTTTAAATGACTGTGGATTTTCATATATTTGGAATAGACAAGAGTTTATATCAAGGGATGCGTTGAAGCATATGGTGAAGAGGAAACTAAAAAATCAATTCCTACAGCAATGGCTATCAGACTTAGATAAATCTAAAAGTTCATATTTTACATATTGTAACATTAAGAACAAACTTATTTTTGAACCCTATTTATGTCAACCAATAAGCACTAGATTATATATAACAAAACTTAGAACTTCAAATCATAATCTTCCTATAGAAACAGGGAGATACATAAAAAAGACCAAGGTTGGAGAGATTGTGTACCAAATGCAACAGACTAGGAGATGAATACCATTATATTTTAGAATGTAAACTTTTTGAAGATGAGAGACTAACACTCCTTGATAGCTACTTCATTAGACAACCAAATATGTTAAAATTTAAAAGTGTGTTGTCAAATATTAAATATTCTGTGCAATTGAGTAAATTGATGAAGATTATTGGTGGTAGTGAATTAAACTAAACGGTATTATCATTGTATGTATGTATACTATTTTATACTCACAAGTGTGGGTAGGAATAAAGAATAAAAGAAAAAAAGAAAGCATGCGAAATAATGCAGATAGATATTTATTGTTTGCATCCTTAAACCATTCCACAGTTTTTTGGAGTTGATTTTTAAATAAGCCCTTTGTTTTGGAAAAACATAAGTTTAAATCCTGAATAAAAAGTGGGGTTTCGTATTCATTTATGAAAGGTAGTAGAATCTAAGAAGGTAGAATGTACGTAGAACCTCGATAAGTATGCAGCACAAATACATATGTCGTATAAGGTCAGTTTTGAACCCAGGGTTATCCCTTGGAAAATATGAAATAAATTTATCTTGTGTATGTATAATTATAAGTTCAACAGTTAACAGTTTCGAAAAACAGTTAAGATCTGCACTTTTAACCCAAACCGTGAGCAATTAAATCGACGATTCTGTTGTCTTCTGAGCTATTTTTCGCAAACATGTACATTTTCTAAAACATGATGCTGATAAACGTTTGTGAGAAAAAATATCGTTGGGATTCTACCTACAACGCGTGAAATAAGGAACAAAGAAAAATCGTACCTTCGACGTTCCGACATTTTGTTACCAAAACGAACCGTTTCGGTAACCAGCGTAATCGAGCGGATCACCAGTGTACCAGGAATAGTAACCAGAAATCATACAAATTGAGGGGATAGTGGCTATCAAATATAATTTCACAAATTATGTTCCCAAAGGCCAGGCATGCTTATATTCGGATCATAAGTCCAGAATTGAATAAGCTTTATTTTGGTATATAACTTATGGGGCCATGGGATCTAAGATCGCCTGTGGATTGGGGGACGGTCATTATGAAACACCCTGTATATTTTTTCAGTGCATTATTTTCCAAGCAAAAAGTTCAAAACCAGCGTATTCCACTTTTCACTTTCTTCGAAAGTATCATCGGGCATTTCAATAATGTTAAAGAATCCCAACTAGAAAACAGCAAATCTCACCGAACAAAACATGTTTTGATAAATAGCGGCCATCTTGAAAATCTCTTCTTGAGCAGAGCTCCCTTGTCCCTAAGTATAAGCATATGAAATTTGAGTTATTTAAGATTATGTTTTTTACGAAAAGTGGTGGCCATTTCATCTTGAGGAGAGTTCCATTATCTCTTAGCATCAGTGTATAAAATTTGAACCAAATCAGTCTACTGGTATTTGATCATCAAAGATTATGGTTTTCTACAAAAAAATGGCGGCCAATTTGAAATTCCCTAGGCATCAGCATATAAATTTGAACCATATCCGTTTACTACATTTTTATGAAAAATGGCGGCCATTTTGAATTGAGCGGTCATATTGAGAATTCTTGTTCGAGTAGAGATTCTACCTCAATAAGGCATAAGCATATACGATTTGAATCAAATCCGTCAACCGGTATTCGAGTTATCGCCTGGACAAACGGATGGACGGCTTTCCTATACCCCCTTCGAACTTCGTTCGGTGGGATAATGATCTCATCAACTTATGAACAGTTCTTGCTTTTCACAACTGAACAATTATTTTAATGCATACTGACCCTTTCCTGACTTGAATATAAGAAGGAGATGTTAGCCTGGTTGCGGAAAAGTAAGAACTATTTTAAAGAATACTCCAAATAAAATATTATCCAGGACCTATACTGTCTTGTTATCACTGAAATGCAATGTTTAATCAAAATTCTCATTTTAACACCTGGTTAAAGGTTCACGTAGGTTATCACAAACAATTTCAGACAGTTATATTTTGGATTAAGACTATTTTTTGAACAGGGAGACAGGTAATCTTTTAAATACATTCACTATCTCAAAGAAAATTATATACAATAATAACAAAATCAAACGGACTCGGAAATATTTAACTAGCAATCAACCCATCAACACACTTTTTCATAGATGTTGACCTCATTTTCACCAAAAATGCAATCATTTTTTACAATATTTATTTCATTACTATTCTTTATTTTGATGTATCAAATAGTTCTTGAAAGAAAAACTGAATTGCTCTAAGATTAATGTTCCCCGTGTTATTTCTCCATTGAAATATCTCATGCTATCCATTGGTTTCAGTAAATTTTGGTAATCAAAATTCAGTATCTTTAAAGTCCCTGGAGCAATCAACTTTTCCTTTTAGGAAATAGAACATGTCTCAAAACACATTCTAATTCAAAAATACAATAAAACGTTGCATTTTTGGTGAAAAATAGGTCAACATTTTTGAAAAAGTATGTTGATTGGTCCGTTGTCCCTTAAATATCACTTGAGGATAACAGATTGGTCTAAATGAAAGATACACCCAGGTTCATGATCAGAAAATATTCAATATTTAAGTGATGTCCTGCGTCCTCCTTTTGTTGTAAAACTACTACTGAATAGAAGGAGCCAATTGTCCTGAAATTATTACGTTACATGTATAGGGCTCCATATGGAGCCTATCGTCGTAAAAGGTATTACGTTACATGTATAGGGCTCCATATGGAGCCTATCGTCGTGAAAGGTATTACGTTACATGTATAGGGCTCCATATGGAGCCTATCGTCGTGAAAGGTATTACGTTACATGTATAGGGCTCCATATGGAACCTATCGTCGTGAAAGGTATTACGTTACATGTATAGGGCTCCATATGAAACCTATCGTCGTGAAAGGTATTACGTTACATGTATAGGGCTCCATATGGAACCTATCGTCGTGAAAGGTATTACGTTACATGTATAGGGCTCCATATGGAGCCTATCGTCGTGAAAGGTATTACGTTACATGTATAGGGCTCTATATGGAGCCTATCGTCATGAAAGGTATTACGTTACATGTAGAGGGCTCCATATGGAACCTATCGTCGTGAAAGGTATTACGTTACATGTATAGGAGTCCATATGAAACCTATCGTCGTGAAAGGTATTACGTTACATGTATAGGGCTCCATATGGAACCTATCGTCGTGAAAGGTATTACGTTATATGTATAGGGCTCCATATAGAGCCTATCGTCGTGAAAGGTATTACATTACGTGAAAGGGGCTCCATATGGAACCTATCGTCGTGAAAGGTATTACGTTACATGTATAGGGCTCCATATGAAACCTATCGTCGTGAAAGGTATTACGTTACATGTATAGGGCTCCATATGGAGCCTATCGTCGTGAAAGGTATTACGTTACATGTATAGGGCTCTATATGGAGCCTATCGTCATGAAAGGTCTGATGTATATGATATGTACCATTATGACGATCTTACTTATTTCTGTGCAGGTCTGCTCTTCTCCTCTTAATACATCCCCTTGGTAACTCTGATAAAGTGGTCCATGGCCTGGTAGGTAGCCATATTCAGGAAAAAATCCAGATCTCAATCTATATCGCTTTTTATTCTTGAAACATGTGCTCCATTGGCCCCATTGGATCCAATCTACAAACACAGGAGCCAGGATACAATATTTTACTCTAGCTAGTTGGAAATGATAGAGCTGTAGGAAGCACCCAATATTTGCCCCATTGGCCCCACTGGATCCAATCTACAAACACGGGAGGTCAAATACAATATTTCACATGAGCATGTTGGAAATGATGGAGTTGTGGGAAGATAACCCAATGTTCACCCCATGGGCCTCATTGGATCCAATCAACAAACACAGGAGGTGAAACGATAGAGTTGTAGGAAGATACACCCAATGTTTACCCCATTGGATCCAACCTACAAGCACAGCTGGCAGAATACAATATTTACATGAGCTAGTTGGAAATGATAGAGCTGTAGGAAGGTACACCCAATGTTTACCCCATCGGCCTCATTGGATCCAATCAACAAACACAGGAGGTGAAACGATAGAGTTGTAGGAAGATACACCCAATGTTTACCCCATTGGATCCAACCTACAAGCACAGCTGGCAGAATACAATAATTCACATGAGCTAGTTGGAAATGATAGAGCTGTAGGAAGATGCCCCCAATGTTTGCCCCATCGGCCTCATTGGATCCAATCAACAAACACAGGAGGCTAAATACAATAGTTTACATTAACTAGTTGGAAATGATAGAGTTGTAGGAAGATGCCCCCAATGTTCACCCCATGGGCCTCATTGGATCCAATCAACAAACACAGGAGGTGAAACGATAGAGTTGTAGGAAGATACACCCAATGTTTACCCCATTGGATCCAATCAACAAACACAGGAGGCTAAATACAATATTTTACATTGAGCTAGTTTGAAATGATAGAGATGTGGGAAGATGATGCGCCCAATGTTTGCTCCATGGGCCTCATTCGATCCAATCAACAAACACAGTAGGCCAAATACAATATTTTACACTAGCTTGTTTGAAATGATAGAGCTTTAGGAAGGTGCACCCAATGTTTACCCCATTGGATCCAATCAACAAACACGGGAGGTCAAATACAATATTTCACATGAGCTAGTTGGAAATGATAGAGCTGTAGGAAGGTGCACCCAATGTTTACCCCATCGGCCTCATTGGATCCAATCAACAAACACAGGAGGCTAAATACAATAGTTTACATTAACTAGTTGGAAATGATAGAGTTGTAGGAAGATGCCCCCAATGTTTACCCCATGGGCCTCATTCGATCCAATCAACAAACACAGGAGGCCAAATACAATATTTTACACTAGCTTGTTTGAAATGATAGAGCTTTAGGAAGGTGCACCCAATGTTTACCCCATTGGATCCAATCAACAAACACAGGAGGCCAAATGCAATATTTTACACTAGCTTGTTTGAAATGATAGAGCTTTAGGAAGGTGCACCCAATGTTTACCCCATTGGATCCAATCAACAAACACAGGAGGCCAAATACAATATTTTACATTGAGCTACAATGTAGTTTGAAATGATAGAGATATGGGAAGATGATGCGCCCAATGTTTGCTTCATGGGCCTCATTGGATCCAATCAACAAACACAGGAGGCAAAATACAATATTTTACATTGAGCTAGTTTGAAATGATAGAGATGTGGGAAGATGAAGCGCCCAATGTTTGCTCCATGGGCCTCATTGGATCCAATCAACAAACACAGGAGGCCAAATACAATATTTTACATTGAGCTAGTTTGAAATGATAGAGATATGGGAAGATGATGCGCCCAATGTTTGCTCCATGGGCCTCATTGGATCCAATCAACAAACACAGGAGGCAAAATACAATATTTTACATTGAGCTAGTTTGAAATGATAGAGATGTGGGAAGATGATGCGCCCAATGTTTGCTCCATGGGCCTCATTGGATCCAATCAACAAACACAGGAGGCTAAATACAATAGTTTACATTAACTAGTTGGAAATGATAGAGTTGGAGGAAGATACCCCCAACGTTTACCCCATTGGATCCAATCAACAAACACAGGAGGCCAAATACAATATTCTAAGACGTTTTAGAAAGCCAGGTGTAAACTTAATCATATTTCGTAAGACGTCTTGAAAATGGTGGTGTAAACTCAACATAATTTTTCTAAAACGTTTTAGCCAAGACGTCTTGGAATGCCGCGTGTAGTGTAAATAGGGCTATAGATATATAAGAAAAGCAGTAGACTAGTTAGTTTAAACTTGTACGATTTGATTAAAATGGACAAAAGGACGAACGTTTGGCCTTACCCATGACAGTATGCGAGATCCACTGTAGGTGATAATCAATAGATGTTTGTACGTAGTTCTTGTGTGCACTGGTACATCCGGATGGATATATATAGCTGTTCAGACCAAGAACAACTTTTTTCTGGTTTGGTAGATGATTCACCATCATAGAATTATTAATATCACACATCATCGGGCTTCCGCTGAATCCCTAATATGCGTTCAGTAAGTAAATAATTTATGAATATAGAACTATTAACATTTTTCTTTCACACCGTACTTTAAAATCAAAAGAACTAACTACATTTTAAACCAAAACTCAACTAAAAGTAAAAAACAGATGACCGAGGGGTGATCCACTTTGTGTAGTAATTTCATGGAGAAAAAAATTATTTTATATATTTTCTAGATAGGGACCCCGCCACCCGGAACGAGATTCGCACATGGCAACTTTAAAGGCTTAAATGTTGCCGCTATTTGACTTGTTTTCGATGGTCTTGGTCAGTAGTTTCCTTTGTTACCAGGCAACCTATTAATTATGACAATATTCAAGATTTATTGTGTCACAAACCCAAAATTTGGGTTTTCCCATTAACATGACAATGGCCTGATGTGACAAATTCTAAGAAAATTACATAAGACAAACAAACCGTGTGATTTTTTAACTTTTTCCCAGGTTAAAAGGAGCGTTGAAAAGTTTAACTAATTGGCACGAAAAAAGTGTCCAAATCCGTGAAAAAATGTTGAAGAGTAGGCCTGAATATGTGAAGATGATGATGGCAGATGATACTCAGATAGCGAACTTGGAAAATTCTCTTGTATAATGGCTGGTGTTATGTTGTGCACCTGCACCTAAAGTATTTGCCGTATTAACAGTTGTAACGTGATTTACGTTTTTTAAATACCGTTCCGGGTGGCAGGGTATTGAAAATATTTAGAAAAGGAGGGTGGTGTTATCTCTTACCTTACAAATTATTTTTTTCTCTTCGTAGATCTTGGATGATCTTATTATTTCATAGTTTTCGTTTTCGTCGATTAGTACCCCTATCGTATTCCCTTTGTTGGTCACCTGTTGATTTTTACCTGTACGTGAACAACACAGGTTAACGTAAAAGTGACAACAGTTAAGTATATTTCACACAAATCTAGGCAAGGTGTGTCCAACTCTAGCCAATCAGATTACAGTATTTCATATAAATTACATTATATAATCAACAAACCACCCGAGGTCAAACTAGCAAAACGAATTCATTCTACTCAGGCCTTCTTTCCTCAACTTAACTTTGAAACAACACCTTACAGGAATGATCAGTCCTTAAATAATCAGTCAAATGGTTTATTAATAATAAAGTGGATATAACTCTGACTTAATATATAATTATCCTTAAATAATCTGTCAAGATGGTTTATTAATAATAAAGTGGATATAACTCTGACTTAATATATAATTATCCTTAAATAATCTGTCAAGATGGTTTATTAATAATAAAGTGGATATAACTCTGACTTAATGTATAATTATCCTTAAATAATCTGTCAAGATGCATGGTTTATTAATGATAAAGCGGATATAACTTTGATTTAATATATAACTATAAACATTAATTAAGCTTCATAATCAACCAAAAAGTGGATGCCGTCGACTTTATAGCGAACGACATATTATGTCATATATATATAAAGAAACTATATAGTTAAATAAATATTTGATGATCATTAGATTAACGTGACTTTTGAAAACATACCTATTCCCCAGCCAGTCGTGAAACAATCAGTCCTCAATGCCCAGTCTTGGTGCGTTTGTGAGCATTCATTTCCCATGGCTTCAATACACGTTCTAGCAGGGAGAAGACTCGGCTGAACAAACGGATTGGACATAAACGACAGGGTACTATTCAGTCTGATAAGTGCTATGTCATGTATGTATTCAATTTCCCTCGAGTAGTCTACGGAGTAATTTTTGTGGATAACTATGTGTTCCAAACCCCTTATTTGTTCTTCGCTTCTAGTTTTATCGAGTTCCCATTCACCTGCAGTTACCGTCCAGTGGTCCATATCACATCTGAATAAGGAATAACTAGTATCAAATATATATCATCGGAGGATTCATATTCAGTATATCAAGGGGTGTATCCTAGCATTAACACATAGGATATTGTTTTTATATGGTTAATGAGCTCGTTAACCGTGCACAATCGTACGTCGGCCGTAGCTCACCAAAACCGAGAGAAATATTCAGCATGAAACAAAGGGATAGGCAATACAATGTAAATTTGCCATATTGATTGTGTGAAGAAACGGCGACCGTACGGCCGTATTAGAGAGAATGTGAATGAAGCTTTTGTTATAAAAACAGAAACAAAAAAACAAACAAGTTGCTTAGACGCCTCGATCTGATGAGGTGTACCTACATTATTTTTTTCTCAGTGTTGTCCCAACATTTAGTTTCAGTGATACAATGAGCAGCTGTTAGCACCCAAATGTTAGTCAGAATAACTCCTCCACATATATGCTTGTAATTACTTGCACCAAATCTCTTAAACTTGAGAGAAACTGCCCATGATAGATCTTCTCTCTCGTTCACTTTAATATTTGAGCCAATAGCCTCAATGATGTAATCTGGTACTGAACCTTTGCCAGAGTACATCCTTTTATATGCCTTCGCTACATCAATATCTATAAATAAAATAAAATAAAATAAAATAAATAGACTAGGTTCTTCTCTTGAAATCTCTAAAACTGTGGTAGACATTTTTTGTAAAGCGGAATATTCTGAAAAGTGTTTCTTTTTTTCTTTTTCATGCTCAATCAAAGAATTATATTGACAAGGTTTAACGATATTTAAATACAATTCATCTTTAATTAATCTTTCTGTACATTATGCACATTTACGAAAATGAATCCTTTTACGGATTAATGAATTCCGTTGTTTTTCATGTTATGTTACAATTTTAAGTAACGCCTTTTTAAGAGAGGATTCGTAGGAATGGTAAAATAACGCCTTTTTAGAGAGGATTTGATAACCCATTGAAAACACTTGGTTACGGGGCCTATGACGTAAGCTTACTAGATTGATATAGTATTTTTTGTGGTGCCACCCGATAAAAGTATGATATCTCTGTACTTACATATATTGACGTAATTTATGACTGCAATCTGCGGGAAGATTATTTAATATCAAGTTATAAGTAATATATATGCTACCATAAATCATTGAATCTAGGTCTCTTTGCTTAGTTTTAGTTTATAAAAAAGAACATTTAGAGATATGATCAGACTAAATGCACTATAAGATAGCATGGCGTTTAACAAAAATTAGTTTTAAAAACTAATCTATCTCGAATCAGAGTGTGACGATATTGACTTAGGACGACAGATTACATGAAATATTGTATAAACAATAATCAAGAAGTAAATCTCAACTGCATAACTTGAATGTATATAACATTTCAAAATTTGAAATATAGGTCGGGATGGTCCATTTAAAAACTAAACGAAACGATACATTCGGGGCTTTGCATTCCTCGTTATATCCAATAATTTTTGAAATATTACCATAAAAAGGGGAGCATGGCACTGTTCATTTTGAAATTCTCATGTTTATCACACAGAGTTGCATACTCTTCTAGACTAGTTGAAAGCCCATGTTTTGACAGATGGAGAAAAAAGGTCAACAATTTTTTGAGAAAATGCACCTTAATCATATCAAATCATGTGTTAGATTTGATCCATACAAACACCTTTTCATTCAAACCACTTGTGATGCTGGTGTAATTACAATAACTGGATTATTGTCTAGGATTATTGTCCTGCTTTTAAAGTGCCATCTCATTGCCACGCAGCGGAAGGATCAATTGGTTATGTGTCTCCTTGGCTGATAATATACGGTAAATAGCCGAACGCAAAATGCATTGAAATTACGAACGAGGCACGTCCCTGGTATTACGTTCACCCTGGGTGTAAAAGGTCGGGTGTCGTTTAGTTTCGTTCGGTACACATCCTCCCAGGGCTTCCTGGTCAACTCAACTCCAAGTCAACTCAAGCCTTAGTCAACTCGACCCCAAGTCAAGTCAGCCCTTAGTCATAGCCGTAGGCAGCGGGGGTTCCCCGGTCAGGATTTCCCAAAATATCATTTTGCGGAAAAATGCATATAACCAGAAACATTAAATTACTATGCTATTTAAAACTACATATATTATATGAGCAGTAAATAAATTGATATTTGTTATGGTGAACACGAGAGCCTTATTTTGTTAAAAACATGTCATAGTGAAGTTACACTTCCCTCAAAACGTTTGGCAACCTTAGGCACGGGGTGAGATTTTATTTTGGGAAGACCCCAGAGCATGAGATTTTACATTTAGAAATATCAATAATTTCGCACAATTAACTTAAAAGCTGCTTTTTCTCGGACAAAATAACCCATCTTGGGCAATGGCTAAATCAGTCCTTTGTAGGAATTTTGTAAGCCAGTTCCGGTTCAATACGAAGTTATTGAAAGTTATTGAAAACAATGCAGACGTCCCATACTCCGAATGATTTCTTTAACATTGACGAATAGATATCTGGAATAGTCGTAATATTGATGAAACACATATGTTCTTTCAAATGACTAAGGGAACATGGGGCAAAACGGCCCTAAAAATTTATTTTTCGAGTGTTTTATATTTGCCTAAGACTATCTTCTGTGATTTTGCAATTGCCAAAAATAATGTTGAGAGTGGGGCAAAACGGCCCGTAGGTGGGGCAAAACGGCCCACCTTCTGTTACATGGGTTTTAAAACCAAAATTAATCAAATACAAGACTTGTCAACACACAAATCTTTTCTCAGACGTTCAAACCTTTGACAGATAAAGTATTCTTAACCCCTACCATAATTCTAGTCATTCGATATGTGTCGGAAGGTAGTAAGGTTCAAACCAAATGTTAGAATTGTTGTATTTGAAAATCAATTGTTCTTGTATTACGATTTTTGTATGTTATAACCTTTGTGTGCCGTTTTGCCCCAAAGACATGTGAATTTTCAAATAGACGTCATTTTAATTTGCCTAATATTTGAAGCTCGAAATGTTTACAAATAAAGAATAAATATGCATACCCTATGTAAAATGTTAAATCAAAACGATATTGTATTGTTGCCGGATTTTTTAGAGATTCTCGTGGGAGGGGTAATTTGCAAAAAAGAGAGTGAAAAGTAAAATTACCTCTTACGTATAGCGAGACGCTGCTAGGTTAAAAATGGGCGGTCGAGAAGGTGGCGGAAATTTCAAAATTCGATTATGTGACTTTTGAAGAACCATCTTTTTATAGTTCAAAAGATATTTCGATGGGCCATTTTGCCCAACAGGGCCGTTTTGCCCCATGTTCCCTTACATCTCTGTTTTGTATTATATATTGCATAACTGAGACCCACTTATTTGAATAATAGATATTTTCATCAGTAATACGACTATCCCGGATAGTTTAAAAAGCCTTCGTGTAAACGTTGTGAAAAGTCATCGTAGAAGAACAATCTTTCGGAGTATTAGGGTATTTGCGCCAATTTCAATAACCTTGCATTTGATCCGAAGTGGCTTCCAACAAAATTCCTGAAAAATAATGATAAGCCATTGCATGAGGTGATTTATTTGGTCCTAGATGAAGTACATGTAGCTTAAGTTAAAGAATAAATTGTGCGAAATAGTTGATATTCCTTGGAAACAAATCATACTCCAGGGTCTTCTAGAAATCAGACGAAATAATGGTGGATTCGGGGCAAATCAGATTTCAGGATATGTATTGAGTAAAAGATTCACCGAAATATATTTTGATGCAGAAAATCAATTATAAGTGGTCTGACTTTTTTGCACGTTGCCTGTTTATTTTACTTGTGAACATTAAAGTTACAAAGCTACAAGGTCATTTTTGAAAATCATTTTTACGTCCTGTGTTATTTCAATGGGAGAGGTTTGTTGATAAAGCCTATTCTTTCAGACTTTGCTTGACGTAAATAAAGGCATCATTTTTATTAAATAAAATTCAAATTCAATTGTCTACTTAACTTAATGAAGGTATGAAAATGAATTATATTTCCACTCCAAAATAGTTTTTTCTTTACAAATAAGAATTCAAATTAAACTAAGATGCTTTAATACATAATCCAATGGATTAGTTAGGATTGCCAAACTTTTGGAGGGGGTGTAATCGTACAAATTGCATTATTTGAGGAACCCCAATGAAGGGGGGGGGGGGATTTGTGAAAAACATAAAAATAGAACCCCCGGTCACCAAATCCTGGCTACGCCACTGTTAGTCAAGTTGGCCCCAAGTTAAGTCAACCCTTAGTCAAGTTGACCCCAACGTCATCTGGGTCATAATGGTAAAAGGCTGACTTTGGATTGAGTTGGCCAGTTACCCTCTCGGGTATTAACTAAACCGCGCTCTAATCGCGTACGTTTGAGCAACGTTTTGTCCTGAAATGAGTAATAATCGCTTTGATCGCACGAATCCAAACCTAATATCATCATCAACATTATGATCAATGAGCTGTATGCAAAGAGTATAGTATCAATTTATATGCATTTTTAAAACTTTACTCGTATAATATTTTATCTACACAATACCACAACACTGTTTAGTTTCAATATGGTCTCCTCCGAGTCTGCTGCATCTTGAAGGGTCAGACTTATAACCATCTTCCCCCAGGCACGGCCTTTCTCTGTGTGCAATGTTGCAAACGCTCATATCGCATGCACTCCATTCGCCCCAGTCTCCCCACGTTACTTCGCCTTCAATCAAATATATTTTAGATTGTAATATTATAAAACGTATCACTATTAGATATACTGTATATAAGTACACGTGTTCTCATCTAATAAGCAGTATGTAAAATGTATCCCTCCGAGGGAGGATTATTATAATGAACTAAATCTGTGAATTATTATGATTGGTGGATTGGCTAGATTCGAAGGACCGCCCATTCAAACTCCAAAAGAATATGAAGCAGTGCTATAAATAAGATAATTGTCATTATCGAAATTTCCGGAATCGGATATCCTTATATGCCTTCCTTAATTGTCTCTGTATTTAGATATAAAAGCAGTTAATTCTCTCAGCTTTCAGATATTGATTCTGAATTCATGAAAAGAGTCATGAATATAAGCTTATTTACAGAGAGAATACAGGATGGGCCAAAAACGTCAACATTTTTATTTCAATCTAACGTACTTTTTAGAAAATGCATCAATTATACAAATGTTCCTAAAATGGGATTAATAAATCTCCAGAGGTTTTAGAAGAAAGAAGATAAGCAAACACTAGGGGTCTATATGAAAACTTACAGATTTCAGGATGAAATTCAAAGCGACAATTATACAATAATAATACTGCCTCATATAATGAAAATGCCTCATATAACATTTTCAGCAAGATTGACATATTGTACATTCATTACATTCTGTAATTTCTCAAATTGACCCATAGTTTCTGTTCACCTTTATTATTCAAAAACCCCTAGATATATCTAATCCCACTTCAGGCACAATTGTAAAACTGCATATCCTCCCTAAATCCTATTGAAATCCATGCATATTTTTAAAGTTATATCAAAATGAAAAATGTGGACGTTTTTTGGCCCATTCTGTATGGCTTTTTCCATGACAATATGATATATCCTTTAGGCCTTCTGGGCCTTCGAAAAATATCGTATTATCCCTCGGAATAAAGGCCAGATTCGATCCCTTCCAGTGTGTGACTCTATGCATTGCATTTGAAAATTGATATTAATAATAATGTTGGCTTAGATATCAAATAAATAATGGTGTTTCTCAAGGTATATTTTTGGTGCAATTTCATTAGTTGAATAAACTTTTAATTAAAAAAAAATTTTAAACAAGTGTTTTCTCACCCAATATGTCCAATACTTTACTGATTTTGTCATCTAATAGTTGAATCTTAAGATTGACTTCTCTTTTGAAATCGCTTTGATCCTCTCTAAACAAAAGACAGGAATCTTCTGGAGTTGCAGTGTGTACAACATCTGAAAAACAGCATTGCAAATTAGACTGTGCTTGCTAATGCCAACGTGGTATATTCACTAACACACGTGTTAAGTTGCATGTTATGAGGTCTCTGCAGTCAGCACCATATACTGTAATATTCAAGACTGGAAGTCAGGTAACCTTTCTTATGTCAGAGAAACAGTGAAATAATCCGGGGATTCACTCTGAATAATTTGGGTAGGGATGTGCAGCATAGCCAATTTTGGCTTTGGGCATAAACCATGGAAACTGGCCAATCTGAGAGGAAAAAACATGGACAAATTAAAAATCAGTTTCTCAGGTCTTGTGTTTCATAAAAAAACTTTTCTCGGGGTTTTTCATGAACAATGTACGAGGGTATATCATCAAGTTCTCAAAATATCTCTCTAATTTTTTCTATTTTTCAACATATTCTCATGAAATTTTCATAGACTCTGCAGTATGGAATACTGTATTAATCTATCAAGAAATATTTGGTATAACAAAAATATTAGATAAGTAATGGTTGCTATAGTAACCGGAAATCAAGGCACCCGGGGCAAATAAAAATAATTGAGATATAATGAGCTTTATTAACCTTGTTTACATACATAATAAACTCTCATAAATTATCAAACACATTAAAATGTTATCTTTAATATATTGTTAAATGCTTTTACTATAAAATAAATTGATCGTGTGAATTGTGTGATGTCATAGGGGATGCTTACAAGCTTCATTAGATGTGATACCAGGCTCTGAGAATCAAAACTTAATGATCAGAAATGACTGAGTTAGATAATGCATAGATGCAGGTATCATCAGAAAAATAATATTCATACTGATAAAAAAGTTTAGTTTAGTTCGAAAAATCCTTTGCTCATACTAAAAATGATCTAAAACAAATATGTTGCAAAGATATCAACAAAATTTCACCCTATGTGTGGTCTATTATTTATTTGAGATGAATAAAGTGGAAAATCGACTTTCCTTGGAATATTTGACAAAACAGTTGTAGTGTCTAACATCACTTCTAATGAAGCATTACAATCATCTATTATGAGATCACAAAATTTACATGACCATTATTATAGTTCAAAAAAGTCAAGAATACATGGTGTTTAACAATTTGATGTGTTTCATAACTTATTTGATAACTTATTATGCATCTAAACATGGTTAGTTGGGGCTATTCTTGCACGATTTTTTATTTGCAACGGGTGCCTTGATTTCCGGTTACTATGGCAACTATTTCTTAAATTATATTTATTAATGCAGCATTGTATACTACACATTCTGTGAAACATTCATCAGAATATATTGAAAAATAAAAAAATTAGAGAGATATTATGAGAACTTTATGATATACCCTCGTATGTTAGACATTCATGTTTTTTGTAACCAAGAAAATGTTATGGTAGTACTTCAATGTCTATTGCGCAGTCAGTTCGCGCATCTCCAATGCCAAAAACCAAAACTAAATAAAACATTTTTGTTTGTTTTTGTTTGATTTTTGTTAAAGAAAATTTGAATTGTAGATAAAAATCGGTCGATATTGAAGTTCTAACTTAAGATCTATGATCAGGCAAGAACTCTAAAATTGAACTACATTTAAATATAGTAATGTCTCTCTCAAATTGCACGTTTGTATTAAACTGCAAACAATTATGCTCCATGATCATTCATGTAAATTAAGTTCAGTTATCAAAGATTAAACAATCACATTCATAATTGTGTCAAGTAACGTGTTGAAAACCATGTAAATAAATGAGTTACATTAAATATTAACGTCGATTATCAAATTGACTGGAACGTGTTTTATGTATTTGTTATATGGTACATTGAACTTGCACAATCGCCCATAAAGGGCATTTCTACTGCCACTTTAAGTGAATTTAAATTACAATATAATTATATTTATCATATTCATAAAAAATATAAAATTTAAATACAATCTGTAACCCCGTTGGTGCCCTGAAATTGATTTACTGTTATCGATTGTTTAATTGTGTTTAATGAAGTTTATAACTGCCTTAAAGATTTTGGCATTGTTTTCATTTGTCAGATCCTTGTCGCCAAAAAGTAGGAAATTTGTCTTATTTTTTAATGTTTTGTATTTAGTTACATCTAAGTTTAGTTCATGTTTAACCACCGCTAGCGCATTCGTTTCTCTCAGAGGGCAGGACAACAGTTTATGTACATGTTGTGCTGTCTCTCGAGCTCCACAGTCACAATATGGATCGTTAATGAAAGAGAAATTATGGTCAAAAAATCGGATTTAAAATATTGATTTACTCTTATCTTATTTAGTACAATTTCGTCTTTTCTATCAGGATTCTATATGTAGGAGGTTGAAATTGTAGGTTCCATGTTATTAGTGAGATGATCGTTAAGTTGTTTTTTTGAAAAGTGAGAAACTGTTCGTTTCCTTATTGTGGCTCAATCTAGAAAAACAAAGGCGTCACAAAGAAAATTGCAAAAATGTGTAAACATGATGTGAAACAAATCTATTGAAAATAAACATTGAACTATTATCGTAGCAAACGAATAAACTTTTAAATTCCACTCACCATAAATGTTGAGCATTACCAAAATAATCGAGTGCACCTTCATGTCTGCTCGTTTTGCTAATTCTTTGCATTAAGTTGATCTTCTATGGGGAAACGTTTTGTCCATCAGCCTCGAATCGGTGCGGCTGTATCGATATCGGTCAGCGCAACCATTTATATACGATTTTTCAATTTATTTTATTGTATTTGTTCTGTGATCATGAAATGTTGACTACATGTATGTAGCTTTGTTATTGGTTGATCCTAAAAATTGAGCTTATTGTTACTTCAATATAATAAGTTTACATTGTTCTGGCAATGCTAATTAATGTTAATTAATGACCTAATTAGCATAATTCGAGTATATTTTAAGAGATAAGATGTTCATATGCAGATATATACATTGTATGTCATCATATTAAACAAAAATCAATGATAAGGGATATATAACTCCATTGAACTCCATCTATATGCATAAATACTATTCAATGTGCCACGCCCCCTTTCAGAAACATTACATAATTTTAAAAAGACAAGAGAAAAATGCTTCCACAGGTGAGCATTTCCCAAAGTTTAGAGTTGGTATCGGGTCATGTGGCATGTGCCATCCATGTGATATATCCAAGGCTTACATGATACCCTGCGTGCAGAGTCTAGTTAAACTACTGAAGACGAAGCTCTCTTTTAAGAAGTGAAGTCAAACGAATGCAAAGGGTACTTATATTACCATATGAACATGCTAACATCGATTCAAATATTACAACAACGTGTGGTAGTGTGGTAGGAAACTAGCCGGTAAACATTCGAACAAATGAAGGTGGTAAGCAAGTAACAGTAACAACAACATAATTATGTCTATCATCTTTAAGCCCTTAGGTTTTCCCTCCTCTTTAGTGGTACCAAGTAATACCAAATGGATTACTTGTTAAAATTCTAGTTCTGGCTTGAAGTTCCCATATACACTTTTAATAATAACCCAATATAAGAAATTTTGAGTAAAAATCTGGATTTATTTTGAAAAATCGGGATTAAAAAAATCGGCTTGGAATCAAGATATTATAGAGGAAATCGGTAGAAAAGGTCTTTTTGGATTTTTTTTGAACTGATGGAGTTCTAAGATAAAAGATCTATTAAAAAGGCGTAGCGTCGCCAACGTCGCCAAATATATCAGGTGTCCCAAAAAAATGAGCCACTTTTTGACAAGTATTATCTCGGCAACTGATGATCCAAATTCACTGAAAATTTGTACAAAGTAGTCTAAGAGTATATTTAGCAAGTTGTAAAAATATAGAAAAGATCAAGTACATATTCTGTGAGTTTTAAGAAATTCAAAACAGCATGTTAAAAATTCCCATACCGGAGCTCTGATATGAGACTTCAAAAATGTTTGTACCAGCTATCGTCTTCGCACGCTCAGTCTTCATTGTGTTTGATGGGAGCCGAGTGATATCTGATCAATTCTTTTCATTCATCCCAAATATCCAAAATCCAATTCATTCTCAAATTCATTGGAGGTGATATTGTAAGAAAAAATGCGGAAAAGTATTTTTACTTGGAAATGGATTAATAAGTGAGTTTTACATTGATATTGGTTATTTTGACATACTGTCTTTAATTCTAAAATACACACATACTATGAGACCAATCTCTTACATATTCATGGCACTAGCAGAGGATAACCTAAAGTGCCTAAAGTAAAGTTCTCGAAGAATTTGGCTGATCTATTGCTGAGAAATCACTTTCAAATTGCTTCTCAGTTTTTGGGTAGAAATGCTATAAGGTTCACATTGCATTGCTCCGGTATGGGCTATTATGACATGCTATCTTGAATTTCTTAGTACTCACATAATATTTACTTGATCTTTTTCATATTTTTATACCTTGCTACCAATCCTGGGCTACTTTGTACAAATTTTCAGTGAATTTGGTTCATCAGTTGCTGAGATAATACTTGTCAAAAAGTGGCTCAATTTTTTGGGGACACCTGATATATAAGCGACGTTTTTATCACAAAATTAATGCCATTGCCGGTTTTTTAAATTACTTTCCAAACGATAGATAAAAAGATAATCGAAAATAATTAAAATTGAACGGAGGGGGTGAACGAAGGGGGAGTAATATGTTTTTAAGGTGGAAGAAGTTTCCACTAATTCGTGTACTTGAAAAATGAACTCAGTTACTCAGTAACACCTTGATGTTGCAACTCTGAAAAGTGAAAAATGGAGACATATGGAGTTAATGGAAATAAAGTCAAGTTACATCTCTTTTCACATTATCCCCCTCCCCACTCCGTTCACTCCCCCCTTCGCTCAATTTTGATAATTTTCGATTAATTTTATATAACGTATGGTAACGTGTTTTACAAAACCAACGATGACAATAGTTTTGTGATAATTATATAAGCGTGTCTAATTTTGGCATACACATGTCGTATTCTGGCTTAATCGTTCATATCATAAGGAAAAGAAAATTTGCTTCCTCACGAGGTACTTGCAATTGTTCCTTGTATTGATTGTAATTGTACCCATGCAACTAACTATGTTTCTTTACCCTTTGCATTCGTTTGACTTCACTTCTTAAAAGCTTCGTCTTCGTCTTGTAGTTTAACTAGACTCTGCACGCAGGGTAATGTTTCTTAGGATGTATGATGGGATATGTCGGACTCGATCCAGACATATATGTAAACAATACATCTCACAGAATCTCTTCCACATTGCATTCCAAAGGAGGTTGATTTATACAATGTAATTCTAAGCAGTTTGTCATGAAATGAATAAGTCTGAAAATACAATTGGTCAGAATGTACTAAAACCTGCTTGAAACTGAAAAACATTGCATGCTTTATTCCACACAATTTGGAGGCTTTTGAAATTCGCAGTAACAATGAATAAGTATATAATCAAATAATAAGTATATAATCATTGCATAGAAAACACTTCATGTACGAGTTTATCGGATGTATTGAGTTGACCAAAATACTCCTTTGTTTACTATATAATATACTGGACTACATACTGGCACCCTTACACATGTGTTACTGTACATATTGTAGAATTAGCCCATAAGAGCTTTGCAAAATTAACGTCTTATACTATCAACGTAATAGACGGCTTGCCTAACACATTGGTGATCCGCTCAATTACGCTGGTTACCGAAACGTAACAAAATGTCGGAACGTCGAAGGTACGATTTTTATTTTTTTCCTATTTCACGCGTTGTAGGCAGAATCCCCACGACATTTTTTCTCACAAGCGTATCATATGTTTAATGTACATGTTTGCGAAAAAATAGCTCAGAAGACAACAGAATCGTCGATTTAATTCCTCAATTAAGTTACAGGTATTCTTAAGTTGACAATAACACAATCGTTTTCTAGAAAACATGTAAATACATCTTGTCAACTGAATATCATTTTATAAAATGCGTATAGCAATCAACATCTTTATTAGAGCTTTGAAATTAAGAATACTTGAAAAAGTAGCGGCAAAATTGACAAGTGTATAATTAAGAAAATGATGATAACTCACTTATTTTTACAGGTTTTTATAATTATTTCACATTTTTCTATATTTTGCGTAACCAGGACGGTTAATTTGCTTCATTTTTCCTCAAACATTTCATCTCACTAATATTTCTTAAATCTGTCAAATTATGACGTTTTTGCCATTGAGCTCCATTATAAAAATGACACTGAGAAGTCTCATTCAGCATCTCTTTAAACTGTTTCATCCATTCCTCGAATGAGTAGACTGACGGCAATACCGACTAAAGTTGCAACTGCAGAAAGCGATTTTTTGAAGACGATGATTCACATGGAGGACACTTTGTTATGCTGGTTTGTCGTTTTCCCTGTCGTTTCAAGCGTCTAACCGACTGAGCACCACTCAACGAACATACGAAGCTACTTTTGAAGCCGTCGGCTTTCCATGAATTGTAACAATTTTCAAAAAGAATCCGTTCAATATTATGGACAACTCTATCATTGTTACTGTAGTAGTTCTCATTAAGATAAGCCTTGTGCGACAATCCACTGTTAAAGTGTCTCACATATTCGATCAAAATTTGCCATGCAAACATGTTAGTCTACTTTACTGGCCCCCCTTGCTGTAACAAGGAACCCAAAACACATCAAAACGTAAACATAAACCAATTAGTCACTTCACTATGAAAGTGGGGGGTGTTTGTAAAGCAGAATACGCTGTGTGCATGGACTAACACAATATCAGTGGTCATTAATGCCTGGGTCACACATACTCCGATCCATCGGCCGGCGCCCGCCCGATTGAGTGTTTTGTTCAATATTGTATTCAATTTTGAACAAAATACTCAATCGGCCGGGCGCCGTAGTGAAAATCGGAGCATATGTGACCAAGGCATTACTGTGTCAACTTAGTAACCCATGCATATCGTGCTCACTCAAGTATTGAATAATTTTTTTATGATCTAATGCCTTGGTCACATAGGCTCCGATTTTCTCTACGGCGCCCGGCCGATTGAGTATTTTGTTCAAAATTGAATACAATATTGAACAGAACACTCAATCGGGCGGGCGCCGGCCGATGGATCGGAGCAAATGTGACCAAGGCATAAATGTTTGTGGTTTATAAAAAAAAGTGATATATTTTAGTTAGAAATACATTAATTAATATATTCATTCAAACAGCACTAGAATGCGGGAAGAAAGAGCAATGGTGACAAAATGCAGACAGAATTTTCTGTAAGGGTTTCAAACATTTCTGGACACAATCATACATGTACTTCATGTGATATTTTTAGTGCTGTATTTATAGATATAATTTCACGTATTAAAATCATATTTTCCAGCAATGACTTCAAATCCGGAACCACACCCATATCACATTTTCTTCAATAACTCCAAACATGTGTAAACATTGACCATGTGCATATAAATTCAGATTTCACGAGGTCTTTCCTATTCGAGTACCTCATACACCCCTGCATGGATTTGAGTTGGATTCGCCTTTTATACGTGAGCCGACACACTCGCAAACGCTGATTGGATAAAGATTGCGAGAATCTTTAAACGTGTAGGAATTGAAAACGAGTCCATTCCCACGATTGCCTTGGCAACAGTAACCACTTGCAATAGGGATGTTTCAGCTATTCGGAATCTGAAAGTGAGCTTTACAGGGA